CGTCGCAGGAACATGACGTGTAATGGAGCATGACAAGGGATGATGTATAGCAAATAAGTTTCAGCCGTTTGTGAAATGTTTACGCAAAAATTTGGACATGCGAAAAGTAGACGACACAATGCAAAACTATTTTTTTAACCTTTACTGATGAATATGCCTCACGCCCCTGTTTTCTCTGATATATCGTACGTTGTAAATGCTAATAAAGTTCCAAGTCGAATATGATATAATAATCTTAATCTTTTTATGCAAAAAGTTGTCAGGCGTTGTTCACCTGACGTTAAGTGAATACCGCCGCCCATGGACATCTGCTACACCCGAGGGTTGTCGGATGCGTTGACAACCTTTTTGAAAATTGGGCTCCGGTTACCCCACTCCGCAGAGGAAACGCGAAAGTATTATACTTCCATTACACGCCGGTCTTCTGTGAGGTCGTAGTACTTACCCGAACGAGCCTGCCCATTCATGCAACAGTCAAGGCTGCTGCGTGGCCCTACCACCGTGAAAATTTTCATCAAACATTTAATATCAGTATTTAATAAATTCCAATCTAGTATATTATCCAATAAACACACGGACCTCAGGGCGTGCAAACTATATCGGTTAACATTTATAAGGAATATTCCAAAAATTTTAACTTAAAATCACGTAAAAAAGTAAATAACCTTTATTTGCATACAGAATGTAGACTACGGTATATGGGTTTGAGAACCTACATGTAGTTTATTCTGAACGAGAGATTTCTTTTATAGACAATTTGTATAGGAGAGTAAAAACAACCACAACCGAGAAGAGGCCTAAACTACCAATTCAATTCAATTCAAAAACATCTTTATTCAAATAGACGCTTGCGCGTTCTTATGAATCGTCGAATTTTACATAAAAATGTATATATAGGTTATTGAACCCATATATAAATTTCTCCGACTACCAGACGGAGTTTGTACCATTCGATGTACAAACACCGTCAAAAAATCGATAGGCGCATTCTACTGGGCAGGGCTGCTCCCAAATACCTTAATGTCCCACGTTTAAACTTTGTCTTGAATGCAGAACAGCGCGAGAAGTTTATGGAAAAGGAGACAAAAGAGCATACGTGCCTCCTGATGGTGAGTGCTAACCATCGCCCATGGACACTCGCCACACCAGAGGAATCACAAATGCGTTATCGGCGTTTGAGGAAGGAATAGACTGGACTCTCTTCTGGAAGGTCTCTAAGTCGTTTTGGTCCGGAAATACCGCTATATTTTAAAAGCAAAAGCAGCAACACCTATCGCCTTAATTCATTGATGTTGTTTGAGAGCGTCAGCGTACAGTTAAGTGGTACTGTGTTAGAATATACTGGATGGCGCCGAGCATTGCTAAAAATGTAAAACAAAAAAAGGCTGATAGCTGAGGAAATTTTCACGCTGTGAGGATATCGTACACTTAGCTAAGTTGGCTAGAATGATTAAGTGCTTTACCCAGAAGACACAATTATGTTCGGATCCTGTCGGCGATCCTGAGTATGAACAATTTATACTGATAGTAAGAAGAAAAAAAAACGCTGCCGTTAATAAAAATAACAAAAAGATAAATAACGGTGGTAGGGCCACGCAGCAGCCTCGGTCCGGGTAAGTACCACAACCTCACAGAAGACCAGCGTAAAGTGGAAATGACAAATACTTTCGCATTTCGTCTGGTGAGTGAGGTAGCCGGAGCCTAATTTTCAAAAGGTTGTCAACGCATCTGTAACCCTCGGGTGTAACAGATGCCCATGGCCGGCGGTATTCAATTAACATCAGGTGACCCGTCTGCTCGTTTGGCAACTTTTCGCATAAAAATAAATAAATAAATACAAAATATTTCAGAACGTTGCGTCACAACGCTACAGGGACCTTCATCATATTATTTAAAATAAATTGTATAAAAACGCGCGAAACATATTACATATGGCACTATATAATACGAATATAAGGATTAGTACCCAAATCAATGTTTATCAGGTGCACATATGTAGGCTTAAATGGTTTGAAGATATCAAGATATTTTCAATGGCAGATTACACCGTTTCGGTGATTTAATTAAAACGATTTTTTCTCCTTTATGACCGAACCTGACAGTAATTTATTATGGAACAAATCCATTACGCCTATAAAAGTGATAGACTACGGCAAAAGGTTGCAAATTGCTTGAAACTGTAGATACCTACCTCTTGTCATGAAAATTAAAAAATGAAAGCCAGCGAATACAATAATGTGTCTTTGCACATTAATAAACCAAATTGTTTTAAGAAAATATTAATTGAGTTTATTTTTCCTTCTAATAGCGGCACACCGGTTCACCGGCACGGAAACTTGGGCAAGTATAAAATTTGTTATAACTTTTTTTGTTATTTCACGGTGAAATATAGACCAATTTTGATCTGAACATATCCACTAAATATTCACATTCAATGAGGATTTTTAGCGTTGGTAACTAAGTTTAATCAAAAAATTACATTTTAACGTTATAACTTTTTGAACAGTTTTTAAACATCAATTGGAAAGTACAGAGAGTCAACAGAAACGAACAGCTTTTAATTCCAATTGCCTATACGCAATTTAGCCAAAACTGTTCGTTTTTGTTGGCTCCCTGTACCTTTCAACCGACTGCGAAAAAGGAGGAGGTTCTCAATTCGACTATACTGTGACTGCTTTTTTTTGTTTGTTACCTCAGAACTTTAGACTGAGTGAATCGAATTAGATAATTCTTTTTTTTTTATTTCAAAGCTGCTGCTTGCCTTGGTCCCATATTAATTTCATTGGTATTGGATCTTGGGCTCCGGAGATATTTAGGGGCTCCCGAAAATCAATTATAAAATGAATACAGAGCGAGATATATGAAGACGTTTTTGTTTTTTAATAACGCGTGTTTCCTCCTCTCGCCCTAAAACAGCCAGCATAAGATTGGTATGCTTTGGATGTCATCGCAGCATTTCGAAGGCGGTCAAGTATTTTCGGTGGGTTTGATACAAACTTAATCACTCCCTTCAGTGAGGTTTATCCCAAATGTGTTCTGTGGGATATAAGTATGGGCTGCGAGCTGGCCACTATACAGCGTGTCGTTACCATCGCGACAATAAATGAATACACATATAGGGGATAACTTTTTAAAGTTGTATTAAAAATTTAAATTCTTTAAACATCAATATTTAAAGAGTTATTAAATTTTCCAAAACAAAGAATTTTAGAACACCCTTACCTATAAAAGCGTAACGTAAAGTTCATTTGTCACAAACCATATGAATGGGTTGAATGAATTTAAAAGAGACAAAACATACTGTTAGAAGGAGAGGAAAACATACTGTTGTAATACGACGCTGTGGCGCGAGTTGTATAGGATGTTACAAATTGTTTCTTTTTTACTTAATTAGTTTGTTTGAAAAGAAAAAAAATTATTATGAATTTTGTTTAACGTTAATATTTTTTTTTTATGATTATTGGCAAGTACAGTTAGACGTGTGTTCATTTATTGTCGCGATGGTAACGACACGCTGTATATTTCGAATATCAACCTCTTGAAAGTCTTCACGATAATAGCGACGTGTGAACGTGCATTGTCATGCATTAAAATTAATTGGTCATATCCAATAAGGTCTCCAAAGGGCATATGTTCTTGAAGTTAATAACTTAAGTTAAGTTAAATAAGTTAAGTTATTAAAGATAGCCAACTCTGTACGAGCATTAGAAATAACGCCACCCCATATCATTATAGAGCCTCCGCCAAAACTCATTGTTGAAGTGGCAGTAATCGCTAGATACCATTCAACTTTTCTTCTCAACAGACATTGTCGACCAAGAGCATGCAATGCGATCCTGCACTGTAAACAAAACCCTTGTCCATTGTTTATGAGACCAGTTAGCGTGTTCGCGGGCAAACTTAAATCGAGTACTCGGTGCTGTGGGGTGGGAGCTGTGGGCCACAGACCGGTCTTCGGGCTTTTAAACCGTACCGTACGCTCACTAAAATTCACGCACCTGGATATTTGAAGACGCTGAGAGATCTCGACTGCGGGAAAGAAGAGATTTCTTAAAATTTCTAAATGATAAAGCGATAATCCATACGAATGTATGCGATTCATTATAAGAAGTAAATTAGAGCCTGTAGATGTCCCACTGCTGGGCAAAGGCCTCCTCTGTACAGAGTATTAGGGCATAATACACCACGCGGCCCCCACCGCGGATTGACGGACTTCACATATTTACCTCAAATCTAATGCCAGTGCATTGAATGTTAAAATGCCAAATTGATAGGGCTGTCCATATAAATCGGTAGATATGTACCAAATATCAGCAGGTAAAAGAAAATATTAATTGAATGGGATTTATCGAAATAAAAAAATATTCATTGATTTAAACATAATTATTGTTTTGTAATGTAAAAGATTATAAACTCCTTTCAACTGAAGTAGCTCTATCCTTAATATATTTTTTTGGAAACTATGCACTTAGGTACATTATTTTACCTTGTTCTAAGGTCATAGCAAGAAAATTCATAGAAGCATTCAAAATGGTGAAGTTTATCTTCAAACACAGCATTATAATTGCTAAATTACCTAACAATTTTATGCAGTGTTTGTAGCCACTTTTGAGAATAAACTTCAGTTTTTTATATTGTTTCAAAATTCGATAAGGAATTATCTGCCTTTAAAAAATGGACAGGATAAAAGGAACATCAATTTATTCTTATTTCAATCAGTTATTTAACAAGTAAAAATCAATAAACATGAGATCAAAAACAAAGTACTAAAAACTAGTATCTTCTACAACTAAACTAGTATATACAAGATATAATTTTTCTTATTTTTCCAGAAGTATGAAACACAATGTGAAACCATTAATTTCAACTTCTCCAATGAAACATAATATTTTGTCTTATACAATTGTTTTGTTTAATGCATTCTAATAACCACATGGATTCTAAAAATATGTACATTTCCATATTCACTTTGTTACATTATAATAGGATAGTTCTTTCTACTTTTTCACACCTCTTAATCTCAATTCCATTTCTAGATAAGCTTTCATGGAGGGGTCATCTACCATTTTCATAATCTTCTCTGCTATTTCTGGTCCTGCATTCTCCATTTTTGCTGTTATTGCTTCCGCCCATACTATAAAAACACAGTTAGCACAGCCTGATCTGCAGCAGGCTGTTGGTGGTTCATCTATTGAGGCCTGAAAATATCATGTACAGGAAAATATTTATTGAAAGAAAATTTAAATTAATGTGTAACATAAAAATGTATTCAAACTACTGGATAAATAAAGGAATGCAAATGATTATTTAATAAAAATTTAATAGGTAGTATTAACAACCCTGGGGTTGTGAGTAATGTGGGTCATAAGTATGTGTGACCCACAGATAAATGTTTCCGATCTAGGTGTTTGTTATAAAAAGTTGATAACAGGCAGGTAGCAAGTCATAAAAAACTTAGCCAGTATCAGTAATAACACAACTGTATCGTTCAAATGTTGTGCCTAACCCACCTAGGTAAGAGAATAGCATGAAAAGGAAGATTTGCGAAATGTAAAAGCTTTATCTTTATTATATTTTAACATTTAAATTATAGCTAAGAGATCAAATTATAAATCGGGGCACAAAATCAATGCCTTGTAGATTTACGTACTTAAACATTCATAAATATTTAAATACTAGCTGCTACCCGCGACTATGTCTGCGTAGAATAGGCTGAAGGCGTAACATTCAGAGAGAAAGACAGTTATACATAAAATATTTATATAAATTATAGTCTATGTCTCATTCTGATATATAAGCCATATTATTGAAGTTTCATTAAAATCCAATCAGCAGTATTTACGTGAAAGAGTAACAAACGTCCATCCATATAAACAAACTTTCGCCTTTATGATATTAGTAAGGATTTACTTGTTAAGCACTCAAGTAAATAACAAGAAGCTTTGTTTCAGCTGATTACCATAACTTCACGCCATCCCAATCTCTGAGAAACAATATGTATAAGCTATTACTGTTGTAATAAACAATTATGAATATGAATCTTACATTTTGTTTGATTCTTTCGATTTCTTTTTCTTTTTCCTCTTCGGTAGCTTTTGCGTTATAAGTGCACATTAAATTACATAAGCGTTTCCTCCGGAACAAACTCTTCGCTGCTGGTGTGGCTATAACTTTCTAAAATATAAAAGTCTTCACATTATATAAAATACTGTCAGTGTACAGTGAAATAAATGTCACTATAAAAGAAATTATGGGACACGTACTTACTAGCATTATTTATCAAGTTATATTAGTTATTATTAAATGTTTATATTGCATTTCTATTGCATGAAAGATAATCGACTTTGCAATTTTCAGTGCAAGAGAACTTTTTTTTGGATTTTATGGCCCGGTATCAAGGACTTTTAGGCCAAAAGAGAATTTTACTTATTTACAATTTCAGTATATATGTCTTATCTATGGTTACAATGACAGTTAAAAGTAACAGTTCTCGTCTGTTCACTTCTTAGTTCAATAATATGTACTACATAGGTACTCTGTGGCCAAAGAAAGATTACATTGATATAATTATACAGATCTGTGTCTAAACAGGGCCTAAGGGCTTATGGGAATTTGTTTTCGCCGTGGATAATACGGCGATTTATTACTTAAATATATTTATTTTTATAACAGTTCGACGCTTTCGGATTTTTTCATTCCGACTATTAATCAACTGAAAATAGGCGAATAAAGGTTGTGAGTCATTGACAAACTAACATTGAAACTGACAATAAAATGAATGTGGTATGTTTTGTGTACATATATCTTTCTGAAGAACGTTATTTTTTCAATATTTATACTGTGACATCCTAAGTTCACACTCATTTATTTATATTTAATATTTGACTTGTTTTTCTGAGGTTCGCAGCTTGTTACGTGGGTATCGGTAAACGACGACCGACATATATCAACACGAACTCAGATGCGAACAATGAAGCTGGCGCATGTTGACCACACATCACACAATGATACTATACCATCCATAACGCGATACCTGCAAACTAGACATAAAAACCGATTTACAGTGGGAAGTCACGGGATGGTTTATGGGCCATTCAGATGGAGGTTTGAACCTTGGTTTGGTAATATATGGCAGTATGTATATCCTCCCTAATCACTTGTAACAACTTTAAGTGATCCAAAAGCAATTGCTCCGTTACGAAACCAGTGCGCTATGATTTATGCGAAACGCCCATTAGGATTCTTTATAAAAGCATCGATAAGACAGTTACAATAATCTATGCCCATTCAAGACCTACAAATTTTGCCGTTGCACGAATGGGCTGGCTCATACTAGGATGTACCACGGCTTTACAAAAATCCAGCATGATTCCACATCAGTAGGTATTATATTTTCGCGTTTCATGGGGTGAGTTAGTTTACTGAGGGCAATGACGGAGAACAAACAGGTGAAAGAGGTTCCGTAGGTATACTTACATACTTTTTCGGCATTTTTTCCGCTCATGACATTAAAATAATTTACAATTTCTTTTAGAAATAGCTTGGGATTGATCAACTCATTCCCAGTAGTAACTGTCATTTATAATATAACCCTTTTTGTAAAGTTTTTCATTTATAAATTTCTTAAACCTGTTAATAGAAGGGCTTTACGTATTTATTGGCATTTTGTTGTAGAAGCTTATACACCGCCCCATGAACGAGTTACTTACTCTATGGAGTCTAGTAAAGTTCGCTCGTTTAGCAAATTTTTATTTTAAAAATAACCTATAAATTTATAAGATGATACAGATAATTAACACAAGTTATGAATAACTTAAATTTTTCACCGCTACCCGAACCAACACCACTTCTATATATTTTTTATTTTGTTTACTTCTCTCTTCTTTCTATTTTTTATATAGTCACCTCCTGCTAAATAGTCACCGACTTATATCCAATTATTTGAATCATAGGGAAAAAAGGCATGTAAGCTTGATTAATTTACGAGAAACAACTGACATACACTCAAACATCTAACAAAATCTCTATGGTAAGAGACCCGACGGTTTAACTTTGATCACCTGTATATTGGTCTATGTTGATCACTTGGGAGAGAGGCAAAGCCCTTGTTTCGGATGCTACTTGTGAATACACTTTGGTTGCCTTTCATGTACCCCTTAGATGTTCAGTCAGGGCCATGTCACGTGGATTAGGTTTATTAGATAATATATAATTTTAGATAGATTAAATCTAGTAAATATTATTAATATATACATACAATTCACAAAATGTGCACTCCAATTAGTCATTGGACTGGCAGACCGGATGGAGAAGTCCATCAAATGCGGGTGCAAATATTCGCAACATATTTTTTTCCAATTTGACCATTGCGTTCAAATAGTAATGAAACTTTATCCAAAAATTAATTGTTTCCACGAATTGATTATGTTCATGAATTTTGTGTTTACGTAAATGATTAATTCTGGTTAGTAAATTATTTTGTTAGAACTTTCCCTTGATAATTTCCACTATCCATCCGGCAATAAAGTCCAGTCTCTGCTCTAGTTCCAATTTCTATATAGCCCCTCGATCACGTCGACATCGATGTAACCACTGGGGTTAAATCGGGCTGTAGTGTCGAAGATTCTTATTATATATTGAAAATATGTGATTTCCATAGGACATTTTTTTCATCACTGAGCACTTGACTACGATGTACAGCTACTAAAAATTGCAATCAACAAATAACAATTTTATTCGTGATAAAATTTCAACGTATAATTTAAATTTGGATTGCTTAATTCTTGTATGTATTTAAAAGTGAGTACCCCGATACTGCATTGCCTATAGTATTCTCAAGAATTAAATTTTTAAACAAATTTTCTAAAACGTTACAACTGTAACTTCTATAATTACTATTAATCAATCAAACATCAATTTTTTATTAAATAAAATCTTTTTTTCATCAAAAATAAACCAGGAATTGTACCATAGAAATGTCATAGACAAAGTCGTTTTGTAAAGGACGACTTGCAGATGTCGCTGACCGGAAGCATTTCGTACGTCAGTCATATTTGATCTATAGTGCTATAGATTTTAGAAATTAGTGGTTTTATAAGTTTTTTTACCACTATTTTGTGATATTGTTTCACCGAGGAAGTTATTGATTTGCAGTAGATTATAAGCAACACAATTTAGGGTGAGTTACCTCCAGATTTTTTATGTTTATATATGCACTTATCTGAAAGATAGCGACAGCGTTAGTCTAAAATGACGAAGCCGATTAAATCTGTTATTGAGAAAACCGGTGGAGCGTGCATGAGTGTCGCTGCACCCTTTACGGATATAAATATCCCAGTGTCTCATAGACCAATGCAACGTTGTCTATATCAAGTTATTTTTTCTATTATTATTACCTTACCTTTGAAAGTTATTTTGTATGGGTCTAATAAAGGGAGGTTCCTTTGATGTTACCACGTTTGCGGTAACCAATGATTGTCAGTGATAATCTTCTTAAAAACTATTAGTCATCATAATGGCACAAAGCATCAAACTATTTCTATGTTGAGACAAAGTTTATAGATGAATCTGAATATGATATATGAGACCCTAATTTAAATTTTTGAGATTATATTCTCAACACAAACAATTGTGTTATAAATTGATTTACATTTATAAATGTTCATAAGTAACCTCATATTGCTGTTCATGTTCACAAAATTTATAATCCTATTACTTATTCATTTTTAAAAAGATACTGTATAATATGTACAAAATGTAGAAATACATATTACATATAAATTTTGGTAAATGTAAATAACTTTAACTCCGGCGTAATTCAATTAAAATAAATTTTAAACGATAGAGATAAATCTCTAATGAATTAATCAACAAGCAGAATTCGGCGGTCGCTTATAGTTTTCGAGAAAAAAATATTTAAAACTTGTTTTTTGTACTAAGAAATCCACCATTTTATTTGTTTGACTTCAAAAACTCAATACACAGTTCTGCCAACACGATAAACATAGGAAGCGGGCGACATCATACATGTATCGATATTCCGATTTTTTAAATTTAATATTTTAGCTATTTCCACAGTATAATGTCTTATGGCATTCTACTTTGGGGAAATTCAGCCGACATAAATACTATTTTCATCCTGCAAAAGAAAGCTATTCAAGCGGTTTATAACCTGGGCCCCAAAGACTCACTAAGAAACCTGTTTAAAGAAATAAAAATATTGACTGTAGCTTCTCAGTACATACTTGCTAATGTTATGTATGTCCACAAAAATAAGAATGACTTTTCAAGATTTAGTAATGTGCATGATGTAAATACTAGGAACAAGCATAAATTAGTTCTACCCTCAACTAGATTGCATAGAATAAGTAAATCTTTTATGGGACAATGTATACGCTTTTACAACAAAATCCCAGAAAACGTTCAAAATGAATCCGTTGCTAAATTCAAAAAACTTGTAAAGGAATGTTTGTGTGTTAATGGCTATTATAGTATTAGTGATTATATGAACGATAACACACTCTGGAAATGAATTGATCGCTCCAGGCTCTTTCAAGTGGAGTTTAATAGGAGTTTAATAATTGTACACATATTTGTAATTTTTTTGGCAAGTAAAAAAAAAATAATGTCCCGCTGAGTTTCTTACGCTGGTTCTTCTCAGGTCAGTGGCTTACCTTCCGAACCGGTGGTAGAGTTTTTTGACTATCAATAAGTAAGTGAATGCTTCTATATTGAATAAAGATATTTGACTTTTGACTTTTGACTTTTTAATGAATCACAGAACCGACACAGAGCGAATCCGACTCGGATAGATTAGGTTAGAAGGTTCAGGATTCAGGAGGTTCAGGTTCGATGTTAGGTTTTTTTTTATGACCACCAAGAAATACGAGCTGAATTGACATATTGACAACAAAAAAATGGCGGATTTCTATAGTAAAAATCACACTATTTCATTATTTATTTTTTCGAAAACTATAAGCGACCGCCGAATTCTGCTTGTTGATAAATTCATAAGTGATTTTTCTCTATCATTTAAAATTTATTTGATTTGAATTACGCCGGAGTTAAAGTTATTTACATTTACCTAAATTTTATTTATTAAGAGGGTTATAATTATTGTAAGTCTCTATTTGATTTTTACAACATAAAAAATCTTACATTTTTAATATGTATAAAGGCAATATATTATTTATGTTATATATACATTTTTATATTTTGAATTGACAATTGACATGGACATAAAACAATAATTGTAAAAGTATAATGTTAGTCTTAAACAGTTTATTAAACAATTTAGTAAATGATTTCAATCGTTTATTCAATTTTATATAAATATAATAGAATATCTTAATATGTCATTGTGATATGGATTAGGGTTTATTTACTTTTCTTATGTACTTGTATCTAACACATGACATAGACATTTGTATATCTATTATTTGCTTTGTTTCTCTATCAAAGACTTATTATATGTATATTGAGTTTTATATTTTAATATTTGCTTTAGTAGTATTTTACAAATGGTTATGAGATAATACAAATATGTTTACATAATGGTTAAATATTGTATTATAGCTATAATGAACATATAAAAATTAATTCATTATAACAATTGATTTATTATACATGCATGATCATTGTTATGATGAATGAATTTTTAATATAATTTATTACATTTCATATCATGTTATCAGAAAGACAATTTTTATGCTAATTTAATGTTGTATAAAACATGTTTTACCCGCTTTGAGAGATGACCTGAAAACATTATGATTAATTTTGTTTGAAGAGCAAGTCTATGCATTCAAAATGAGGGGAAGTTTCACTGAATTTTTGTAGATAAAAAATCAAAAAATTTTTTTATGTGAGAAGGCGGCAATTGAGCTGCCAGTTCATCTCATGTTAAGTGATAACCCTCACGCACAGACAATTGCCACCCATACAGGTACATAGCCAGTTGCAGATGCATTGCCACCTTTTGATAAAGTGTCTCACCACTACCTCACTCCACTAGATGAAACGCGGGAGTGAGGTTGTGGTTTTTGCCCGGACAAACCTGCCCAATTGTGCAACAGCATATACAGTAGTGTGGTCCTACCACAGGACTCTTCTTCCTGATAATATCAAGACCAATGCCTTTGGGCATTAACTCTACACTATACAAATAATAAATTCTTACTGTTAGCCTGTTTTATGTTCCAGTATCAAGCATGTAGATCTGTAGTATCTTTAAAGAATGTTAATCCATTGACAGATAAAAAATGTCTGGGGACCCCGAGGTTGCACGCACCCCTGAAGGGGATGAGACTGAGGAAGAAGAAATTAAATCCTCATACAAACCGCCACCAGAGAAGACAATTGAGGAAATACTAGCAGCTGACCAAGAGGACGAGTCTTTGAGGAAATATAAGGAAGCGTTATTGGGACAGGCTCAAGCCGGAACAGTCATAGTCGGTATGTTAGCTTTTCCTTAAAACGGTTGCCAACAATAATTTTCAAAACATTATAAATATTGCTCCATAGTGCTATGATGTTTGTGGTTGTCTTATCATTAAACTACTGGTGATTAACCCACTATTTGTGTGGTAATTTTTTTTCAATAACTATATATTTTCATCTTAAAAAAATCTAATATATAAAATTCTCGTGTCACGGTTTTTGTAATAGAATGTTTGATTTGGGTGCATATCGGCCAGGGTGGAGAATCGTACAGCATCTATTTTTCATCCCCTTTAATGTTAAGGGTGGTCCACCCCAAACATTTTTTTCTATCCTACAAATTATTTATATGGCAAAACAACGTTTAACGGGTCAGCTAGTAAATACATAAAAAGCACAAACCATTTGTTGCTTGTAAATAAGCAAAGTTTTACCTACTTTATAATAGCATAGAATATAGATTGTTCTCTCAATTAATATGTGTAACTCGTATTTTTCGCATTCCAGTCTCGTCGATCTTTTGTGTCTATGGTCTTACGGTCACCCATTGTTCGAATTTATAGCCCGCCTTTTAACAATCAGTTACATCTATCAGCGCGTCATAAAAGGTTATGAATACTTGAGGCCTTATTAAACTACTGGTAGTTACGAAATTAGCGTCTCGTTGTCACCAAAAATTATTAAAAAACGATATAAAGTCCGTAGTATATGTAACTGACAGTTGTCTATAGCCAGACTAACCCCGCATTTGCTCAAGTCGTGATAGCTCAGTGTCCGGGTGCTCGCCTTTAATTCAATATACTCGAGCAACCTGAGTTCGATCCCCGGTGCCCGCACCAATAAAATTGTAATTTTAAGTGCCGCATTATTACGTGCTCAGCGGTGAAGGAAAACATCGTGAGGAAATCTGCATATTTTCGAAGTAATAACAAAAAAAAATATTTCGAAGATACGTGAAGTTCGCCAATCCGCAGTGGGGCCACGTGGTGGACTATGCCCTGATACCCTCTGTACAGAGGAGGCCTTTGCCCAGCAGTGGGACATATGTAGGCTGATACTTTACTTTACTTTATACCCGTCATTAGTATAAATAATGATTATTAACTTTTTAACGTTATTCTTTGATGCATTGGCTACGTTTTGTATGCACTCGAAGCAGTGTATTTCAATTTGTGCGTCAATACAGAAATAGGAGATCTTGAGTCAAAACATAACGCAGACGGTTCTAGATGAACAATATCGTAACAATGTTCACCTTGTATTGTCGAATGTATGATACTTTGTCAATAATATTAAATTCGCATTACTTTACCTCGTTTAGGCAAGTGGCCAATATATGAATGCCCCTAAATCATGTACAGAGTTAATCTCATTATTATGTTCACCTCTTGCTGGAAACTATTTGAACCATATTTCATAAAATACAATGCCGAACTTGGCAACACTAAACTTAGTACTTCCGAAGAGAGCACAAATTTTTTTACGAAGCTTGAGTTTGGCTTCCAACCCGCCTAATGGGAAACACGCATCATACGTGCGGTTCATGCCATAATAACGCATGTGGTTGTTTTAATTTCGTCTTGTCCCCTCGTGGTAAGCCATTCCGAAGAAGGGTTGACTTCAGGCAGGCGGCCAGTTTTAAAAAGTGAACCAATATCATTAACAACATGGTACACGCGACGGCACAACATATTTCGTCCTCATTTAAGTCTTTGCAGTACGCCCCAGTTTGCTAGCTTGTGCTTTTGTCTTTGTAATATCGTAATAACGCAGGTCTTCGTCTTAATTTGTTCGTACCACCTCGTAGTAAGCCATTCAGAAGCAGGGTTGACGCCAGGCAGGCTGCCGGTAGCAAAAAGCTATTGTGTTATAAGCATGACACACTTTAACCGAACAGCCATTGTCAGCATGATACACTATAACGGAACAGGCCCGTTTTTTTTTTAATGTGACAAGTTGTCAAACAAGCAGGCGGTTCCAGATGCGTTGACAACCTTTTGGAAATTGAGCTCCGGCCACCTCACTCACCAGACGAAACGCGAAAGTAATTATACTTCCACTTGACGCCGGTCTTCTGTGTGGTCGTGGCACTTACCCGGACGGGCCCGCCCATTCGTGCAACAGCCGAGGGTGCTGCGTGGCCCTACCACAGATGAAGACTGTAAGAAGGTGGCAAAGTCAGGTTGGCCGGATGTAAAGAGGTAACCGACAAAATGAAAAAGTTCTACCTCACTTGCAACCTGACCATTTGAACATATATTTCCGCAGATGCTCCGCGACTCTACTTACTTACAACATACTGAAATCCAGAGGACATTTCCTCACAATAGCCATAAAATTGTTATTCACTAATTATGTTTCTCACATTTCCCTACGATAAAAAGTTTCAATTTATTTGTGTTTACGACGCTTGTTTGCTACGCTGATTATTTCTCGGTCACTATCACAGTTTATCCGATCTGGATTAGCTCTATCGCGGTGATAACTTTATCAGTGGGCCGATTTCAAGTATCGAATTTTCCGCACCAAAATAAATAAATGAACACTACGCAAATAGGTAGCTATAACCTAGTCTACCATGGACTTTTGATCGGTTAAATGTTTTCAAATTTCGAATGAGACTAGCAGAGGCAGTCCTTGTTGCATATTCGGTGGAATTTGATCTAGTAGCATTTTACCAACGCTTGGCGCCACCTAGTGACCGCATACGTACTTATTGATAATAAAATTTAGACTATGTAATTCGACCAAACAGTTCTTACTCTGCGTTGTATTCTCTTACTTCTAATCTTTTTACTCTTCATGTCGAACTTGAAAAGGCAGAATCCGTAAGTCGAAGTTACGTAAAGAAAAGTAAAGTAACTGCCTATATACATGGCCCACTGGTGGGAAAAGGCCTCCTCTGTACAGACGGTATTGGAGCATAGTCCACCACACGACCCCACTGCCCATTGGCAGGCTTCACATATCTTCGAAATATTATTTTGAAAATATAGCTATAGCTATCGCCGCTCTCGAAGTCGAAATTGGTAAAATAATGTTGACTTCATACTTGGAATTCCAAGAACCCACAGCAATCAAATCTAAAAGGATTTTGTTCTACAATTGTATTGTTCTACTTTGTACATGTGCACTGACGATACTGTTGCTCAAAATGGTTTTCACGGCACTGGTCTAGCAGATATTGAACCATTCATATCAAATAAACAAGAAAAAGCAGGAGTTAACACAATACGAGAGCCTCCGTTCATTGTTTGAACTTGAATGGCGCAATTAATAAAGAATCTGCAAATACCTTGGGTCAAAAAAGGTAACAGATTACACATGATCACCGATGTTAATTTCTGTCTTAAAAAAAGTAAAACAGTGTTAAGTTCCGTGAGCGGTTTTCGTGTCATCAGATTCAACCCCTCGTGTAATTAACGCAAGAGCCGTAGCTAGACCCCCTCGTGTACTCGCCCCTTGCTTTGCGATCTCGGTGTATCGATCATACCTTACCGGTGCATTCACTTTTTCGCGACGCGTTTTACATTCGCGTTGGTAAAACAGCAAACTGAAATTATTTTGGTTGTGAGCACCACGTGTCCTCCATTTTTGGTTATCTGGTACCGTTGTCGCGATGACTAGAAAAATGCATGTTATGTTATAAGAGATAATACTTTTCATACAATCTTTCCGATCAATTAAAGGAAGCTTTGTGTTCGCGATATTTCATTTTTCTGTTATGACTGCAGATTATTATGACAATTTCGGATTGCTGCGTTAATTTTCCATAACACCGTGTTTACCTACTTTTTTGCCTTGCTTTAAATTAAAACATGCCTCATTTAATTAGTGTCAATTACTTTGTATCAGTATCCGTCCAGATATTAAGATCTCCTTTTAATAATAATAAAAAAAATATCTTTATTCACATGACACGTCAAAATTTATATAAATAAAATAATATAAAGAAATTAACACGTTCGTAAGTTACCACCGGTTCGGAAAGCAGTTTCTGTTGAGAAGAAACACCGGCAAGAAACTCAACAGTTGCTCTTTTTTAAGAGGTCAGTTTACAATTTAATAGTATAGGCATAATAGGATTCTTTTCATTCTTAGCTCGGGTGTTAATAATTTTATAGGTTTCATTCTCTCTCATGTTAAGATTCAGATTCTCTTTTTTTATACATATATCAACGCCTGATACAAAGTACAATACGAATAAAAATCACGATCACGGTTGTACTGGTAAAATTTTACTCTGTGCGCTTCACGAGCTGCCTTCGATCGGGGACTTGACAAATCTCGCGTCCTCCGCAGAACCCAACGACCCGCGCAAGGTGATTGTGAAGAAACTGGCGCTCTGCGTTACCGACAGGGACGACGTCGAGCTCGACCTCACCGGGGACCTCACAGACCTCAAGAAACAGGTGTGTGCTTTTTTTATTATCTTTATTTTATGGGGTTTTCATCTATAAAGATACGCCAACCCAGGTGCGTGCTTTAATTATACATTTTTGGCCCTCAGTGCCGATATCAGCGTGTCGTTACCATCGCGACAATAAATGAACACACGTCTAACGCTACTTGCCAATAATCATAAAAAAATATTAACGTTCAACAAAATCCATAATAAAAAAAAATATTTTTCAAACAAACTAATTAAGTAAAAAAGAAACAAAATTTGTAACATCCTATACAACTCGCGCCACAGCGTCGTATTACAAGCTTCTCCTTCTAAAAGTATGTTTTGTCTCTTTTAAATTCATTCAACCCATTCATATGCTTTGTAATGACCTTTACAAATGAACTTTAAGTTACGCTTTTATAGGTAAGAGTGTTCTAAAATTCTTTGTTTTAGAAAATTTAATAACTCTGTAAATATTGATGTTTAAAGAATTTAAATGATTAATACAATTTTAAAAAGTTATCTCCTATATGTGTGTTCATTTATTGTCGCGATGGTAACGACACGCTGTATATTCCTGGCTTTATGCGCTGGGTGATTTTTAGGGTTCCGTATCCAAAGGGTGAAAAGGTACCCTATTACTAAGATGTCGCTGTCTGTCTGACTGTATGTCTGTCTGCTTTAGGCGCTCGGTGACTTTTACGGTTCCCTACCCAAAGGGTTAAAATGAGACTATTATTATGACTTCGCTGTCTGTCTGTCTGCCTGTCCGTCTGTCAGCAGGCTGTATCTCATGAACCGTGATAGTAGAAAATAGCTTTTAGAATATTCATAGGGAGTTCATCGAGGTTACTGCTTAGCTAAGTAATACATGGTACGGAAATATTTTTGCAGTCGTTGTGGTCATTTTGATCTTGCTAAGCGGAACCACGCCGCCAATACCAGACTGCCGTGTTTAATTCATGACCGACGGATCCCGTAAGCCGCGCTACTATTTCACTTTTCGCCTTAATTGCCCGATCTGGTCATCGATTATGGCCGTTTCGCGGCCACCGTCTCGTTGTCTCGTGCTCTCGAAAGCTAGAAACGTCTCGTTGAATAACGCATAGTATACGAAAGTTACGTCCTTCTTTATCGTCTTCCAATTACTATGATCGGCCGATGATGAGGTTCATAAATCGCTTGGTCGGCGTTTAGATTTGAAAATTTTAAAAGTTATTTTATAACAATAATCATTAATGACTGATGACTCCGTGGCGCAGTCGCCAAGGTATCGGCTTCGGGGTCGGGGGTCGTGGGTTCGATTCCCACCCGAGACAACTATTTGTGCGACCCGCTGATAGTTGTTTCGCATCTCTCTGGGTGTTTGTCCACATGAAATTTGTTTGTAGAACGTCCTTACAACACAGGATAATGTTATCCAAAAGTAAGAGCAATGTTTTTTTTATTAAAAAAAAAAACGAAGTGTAGTGATACGTTGACAACCTTTTGAAAATTGGGCTCCGGCTACCTCACTCACCAGACGAAACGCGAAAGTATTTGTCACACTTCCACTTTACTCTGGTCTTCTGTGAGGTCGTGGTACTTACCCGGACGGGTCTGCCCATTCGTGCAACAGCCGAGGCTGCTACGTGGCCCTACCACCGTATCATTGTATGTAAATTGATTGACTAATCATTTTTCGGCAATGAATGTTGAATGTTATTTCGGCACTGTTGCGCTGAAACTGATTACAACAATTTGAGTACCTCAATTTACCCTCATTGTTGTAATTGATTAGTTCGCTCTCTTTCCGTATCAAACATTTTCGATATCATCTGTCACATTCACTTATATATTATTACTTATTATTATAAAAGCCTCGCAGTATGGACATGCGTCAATTAAAATGTCATTATTTTTCGGTGAATGAACTTAGTAAATGACCTATTTACAAGACAAGAGGCTCAGCATCCAGGAGAAAGAATGGTGCTGTCATTTTAGGAATTAGGAATTGAGTATATATGACCTTGTATGCAACACGAGACGTACAATCATATGAGGCCACTCAGCAGTTTGTGCTGTTGCATTAAAGTATTATAATTTCGCTTTTCATCTGTTCAGAGGATTAACCGGGGCCAACTTTTGTAAAGGTTCGCGTTTGCAACCCGTCAGTTGCTGTAGACGACATTAGGTTAACATCAGGTGAAACGCCTGCCCGCTTGACATCTTTCACATGTGTGTAGTACTAGGCCGCCGTCGGTGTAGTCTACGGCCCGTGTGGGTGGTACCATTCGAGATTTGTCTCGCGTAATCTCGGGGAGACGCCGTTATCTCCGACAGGTGCATCCGACGCGTGGACCGTACGCGCGCCCGCGTCTTTCACAATTATCGTACGCCTGGCCACCGTCCAACATACAGGGTGTTAAGTAAAGTGAAAAAAGTCATAGCTTATGTATGTCCCACTGCTGCGCGAAGGCCTCATCTGTGAAAGGGTATTAGGGCGTAGTCAACCACGCGGCCCCACTGCCTTTCGCGGACTTTACTTGCGTATCTTACTACTTTATTTTTTTCTCTTCTGTTATTATTTCGAAAACATGCAGGTTTCCTCACAAAGTCTTCCTGTACCGCTGAGCGAGCACCTTATAAGTGAGCACTTAGAATTAACAATTTTATTGGGGCCGGCATTGGGCATTTTTGAACTCAGGTTGCTCCAGTGTATTGAATTAAAAGCGAGTGCCCAGATAATTAGATAACACGGCTGATACAGGATGTACCGTTCTTCACGACGCGGGGCAAATGTACATTGAGCTGCAGCTTCTGCCTCGTCTCGTGTTCCACACGTTATTGTGAATTCTTAAAGACGTCCGAAATACAGCATGTATCAAATAATGTGTTAGTAAAGAAGGCGTATTGCTGTAGAGTAAACATACTGTACATTCAGAAAGTCCCATGTTAGATACTGCTATATGGCGAAAGTTTGTAGACGATAATGGTGTGACATTTTCCCCCCACATACTATTTAATTTCGGACTAAAATGTGTTCCTAATGCTTTACGAAACGTTTTTGGCTGCCTATAAATCGTGACGTCATATGACGTGCAAGACGGACGGCAAGCTTGTCTAGAAGCGGCTCATTAGAAAAAAGTCGTTTTCATAGGAAAGAATTTTTCTTTTTACGATATTATACTCACTCTACGTATAGTACTATCAATAAACAAACCTCAATAGCCTCAACAACTTCTAATTTTTATCGTTGTTTCAGGCGGCAATAAATAGGTGAATTTAAATTTTCGAGTCTAATTGGTAAACAAGTGTTTAGGCGACACGGAACACTGAGACAACGTTGCTGTTTAACGCACTAGGTTTACGAGTAACGCTGTCCAAATAGCCAAAGTTAAAAATGAAACCATTTTCAAACGCAATAGTCATTTCAAGCGTCATTGTGCACAATGCCTTATCGTTGGGCACAGTTAATACACGAACTGTGACGGCCGCTCTGATAGTAACCGGAAAAATGTCTATTAATACTCCGATACCGGTCGCTCTATCCTGTAATCGTGGAACAAGCCGGCGTGGAATATTGATGGTGTTGCGTCGCTCTTCACGCGACGAATATTGTTTAGGCACTGAGTGAGAGAGACAGAAGATCGGTCGGCAAAACACGTGAACATTGTTTTATTGGCTAGGTCTTTTTACGACCGACCGCGTGTCTGACGTCAACCCACCTTGGAAACAAACACACAGAACAACAGATCGGGGAGATTTATCCGTGGAGCGCACAAAAACTTTTCTCGTGTGCGATCGAACCCACGACCCCCGCTACCGAAGACAAAAGCTTATCAAATGCGCCGTCGATTCACCATATATTACATTACTAGCGACGGGCCCCGGCCTCGCACGGGTGCAATGTATTATACACTAGCTGAGCCCGCGACTTCGTCCGCGTGGAATTGAAAATAAATAAAATTTCTAAACTAAAAGTAGCCTAAGTTACTCCTTATTACATCAGCTATATGCCAGTCCCGTCAAAATCGGTCCAGCCGTTTCAAAGATCAGCCAGAACAAATAGACAGACAGACTGACAAAAATACGTAAAAAATATTATTTTGGTATATGTACCGTGTATACATCTATTATATCCATTTAGTAAACAGCGGTTATTTGAATCTTACAATAAGATACAATTCACACAAGACAATTTTATTTATCTGTATAGATATAAACCTTACTGTTGAATCACTCTTATCTATTAAAAAAAAAACGCATCAAGATCCGTTGCGTAGTTTTAAAGATCTAAGCATACATAGGGACAGACAGACAGCGGGACGAATTTGTTTTATACTATGTAGTGATTTGTACACACATACAATAGTTATAGGAGCCGTGATAGCTTAGTGTCCGGCCGCTCGCTTGTAATTCAAATCCTGATGTCCTGAAATAACATGGTCTCTCAGTATGGTTGCAAGAAAACTAGAGAAACCTAGTCAATAACCTTTTGTGAATTTGCATACTCGGGTGATGATTGATTAGACTATGTTTTTGTTGAACTATTATTGAACTGTCCGAATACTTATATTTGTATCGAATTGCATGAATTACGGTTGACTGTTAGAGAATGTCTTTGGGCATTAAGTCCGCCCTTTGTTATCTTGTTTTACCGAAGGTTGGCCATAAAGATTAAATAAATAAATAAAATTCAAGCAAATTTATGGCAATAGTGATATTAATGACAAACGGAGCATTCTGTATACAGGTTGTACACGTCGAACTTTTACCGGCCCCATTAGTTACCAAGGTTAAGTCACCAATAAAAGGCGGGATTGCAGACCGCTTGTGATGCGACAATCGCCGTGACAACATTGGCCGGTGATAAATGGCGTTATAATTGGCACTGCCACCGATACGACGTGCTAATTGATTGGCCGTTTTCATGGTATTATTAATAAAATTGATGAACAATTGTCACATCCTATCTGTTCGCTCGTAAATCGAGCTTGTAACGTATTGTCATGGGTCTCAAAATTGTTAAACGATGAAGTCTTCTTTTATCCTTTATTAAACCTTCATTCCTTTCACAATTGTTAATTGGTGAAGTCTTCTTTATTTTGACTTATCACTTTGAATGGTCTATTATGCGCAGACATGTCGTTTTCATCCGCGATGAATTTAAAACTGTTTCAACGCTATGAGTCGCATCGCTAGCGACTTACTTTTAACGGTCAAATTTCTATCGGATCAAACTTTGTTTTAGATTAAAGGATGTGACTCTCTCTGATGTTTAATATCTACCTGATGAATTTATGTCAAAAGTAGGGGAGGCAAAGCGTGTTTCCTCGACAAATGCCTATGTTCACTTTGTTCTGCTAACCACTTGAAGTTCAGACACAACCGGTATACGAGTGTGAAATATAGGTGGTAGGACCGCGCAACAGTCTTAGCTGTAATACGAATGGGCGTGTCCGTCCGATGAAGTACCACAACCGCACAGAAGGCCACTGAAGTAGATGTTCCTCTGCGTTTCGTCCGGTGACTGAGATAGCCGAGGCCCACTGTATTAAAAGGTGGCAACGCATCTGCAACCACACGGGTGTTGCAAATGTCCGTGGGCGGGGGTTATGGTACGCTTGCCAAATTCTCACATAAAAAAAAAACTTAACTGTCAGCGCTCGGCGTACCGTCTGTCTTCATTCCTTTCGTCGTCCGTGTCCATCCCGCGTTCCACATGCCACCGACTTCAACGCTGTCAATGACGTAAAAATGTCCCCCCTTCCAGGTGTTCGTGATCAAGGAGGGCGTTCAGTACCGGATAAGGATCGACTTCATAGTGCAGCGTGAGATCGTCCACGGCCTGAAGTACGTGCAGAAGACGTATCGGCTCGGCGTGCCAGGTGAGTGATCGGCCAGACTGCCCGAACATCCCCTGGACCAGTCCAGACCAGTCCCCTGGCTCGTTCGGACCAGTCCTTTCCCAAAGATTTCGGGATTGACAGGCACGGGAGTATCAGTCTCTTTTATCGACTCTTAATCCAGCCATTGCTCTCCTTCTATCTCCACCTGGTAGGAAGTGATGGTGTATGCTAGTGCAAACGTTCTCTCTGTACCAAATACTTCTTGGCAGCCACGGGAGTACCAGTTTGTTTTGTACTACTCCAAAACCAGCCAGTACTCTGCTACGATCGCACATGGTAGTAAGTGATGGTGTGTGCACTAGTTCAAACGCACGCAAATAATGGTTGGTCACTAACTGACCTGTTACCAACTCAGACTGACTGCAGATTGTCAACTCAGACACGGGTCGACGAGGAAAGCACGCTATCAAAGAATCTTCGGGGTCCAATTACGAATGCCAGCGGTTTAGAGTGCCGTACCGACTGACGCTGCAACTTAAGTGCGGTTCATATGGACAGATAATCAGAAAGTCTGACTGTATGTCCGAACGTGGAATAGGAACGACCTACAAAGATCTATTTATGTTAGTCTTCCCATCGGAAACATTACTCCGTTACTGCACTGCAACTATATCCTGTGTTGCAAGGAATTTTTATATACCTACATTAATTTCACGTGGACGAAGAGCGAGATCCGAAACAATTAAATAAAAATAATGAATTAGACATTAGAAATAAAAACAAAATATAAATAAAGTTTCAGTTAAAGAAACAGTGGTCTCGTGTGGGAATCGAACCCCCGGGCGCAGAAGCCAATACCTTATTACCTTGAGCCAATACCTTGTCACACGCAACTGAATCATCAACCTTTTAATGCATAACCATTATGTTTCACGCCCGCCTACCCGATGGACAGTGCCCGGTACGTACGGACTCAGCACGGATTAATGTATTCTAGGCGCGTTTTATTATTAACGGCTCTATAAATATGCGCCCACGCTGTCGCGAGTATTGTGCGACGCGTGGTAGGCGATAGTCGACCTCGTGTATGGGGTCTAGCGATGTCACTAGGGTCCATTTTCGCGTGTAGTCATCAGCCCGTCGAAGGCCCCTAAGAAGACTTGCATTGACATCGATGCAGCAGATTCGTTGTTGAAATATATATTTGGTTACGGCGCCTTTGGAGGATGACTGTTACGGTGCTATATTGTTTATTCGATATTATGTATGACTGTTTGTCGCAGTGGATAGTGTACCCGTCTCTTGCACCAAAGTGTGCGGGTTCGATGCCCGCCAGATATCAGAAAAAATGTGCATAGTATATTTATAGTGTTTATATATCTATTGTATGTATTTATTTGCAAATAAAACGTACGTTTGCCAGTTACCGAGTACTTACCCACAATTAAGTAAGTACAAGTTTGCTAAGATTGGTGGGCAACGAACATTATGCAAAAATATGTTTATTATTTTATTTAAAAATATGTTATTCATTACAAACGTAAACCTTAGCTTGCATCTGTAAAGCTTTTTCAACACGTTTAATATCGCCACGTATAAATTATAATTTGAAACTGTTAGAAATTTACCACTTCAGTGGTTTAAATTGTTCTATAGTTCAGGCCTTGACAATGTAATAATAATTTTACATTATTTAAAAGACCAATTTCCAATATATAATAAATTTCTAGGGTCGAGGTACTGTGAGATGCCGATGCTGATGACTGTATTTTAGATAGGCAGACATTATAGTTTCCTTCGCCGATTTGGTGTGGAGGAAGCCAACATATTTTCGAAATAATAAAGAATAAAGATAATATAAACAAAAATAAAAATATTTTGATTTTTTTTTAATAAATTTAATAGTTTAAAATTAATTTAATATAAATATAAATAAAAATATTTTCCCGATATGTGAGGTGTGCCTCGTGGTGGGCTATGCTTCAATATTCTCTGTATAAAAGCCTTTGCCTAGCAGTGGGTCGTTTATAGACTGTTATTTACCACCTAGCTAGGCGCAATAATATACGAACCGTTTATAGTAGTGTTTTTTTTGTTTATATGTGAATAAGTGTCAACCGACCTGGCGGTTCAGATGATGTTAAGTGATAACCGCCGCCCATGGACATTTGCAACACCCGTATGATTGCAAATGCGTTGCCACCTTTAAATAAAGTGGGCCCCGGCTACCTCACTCGCCAGACGAAACGCAGAAGTGTAACACTTCAATACTTCACGCCGGTGTTCTGTGTGGTCGTGGTAATTACCCGGACGGACCTGCCCATGCGTGCAACAGCGAGAACTGTTGCGTGGCCCTATCACAGTTTATTGCGTGAATGTGTGTAATCGCCCTCCATTTACGGCTTTGCAGTTGACAAGATGACGCACATGGTCGGCTCGTACCCGCCCAAGACCGAGATCCAGTCGTACACGACACCGCCGGAGGACGCGCCCTCCGGGATGATGGCGAGAGGGTCGTACACTGTGAATAGTCTGTTCACCGACGACGACAAGAACATCCACCTGCAGTGGGAGTGGAGCTTCGAGATCAAGAAGGACTGGAAGGACTAGGGCGGCCATCGGTGCGGCCGCAAACCGGGATTGGACATCGCGTCGGCTATACATCTAAACTTAGGCACAATTCACACTTAGCGGGCCGCGTCGGCTCATTAGTCGACCGACCTTCGCATGGAAATTATAGCGTTGGACATCGCATTGGCCGCGAAGCGCTATACATCTCACCTTAGGCACGATTCACACCGAGCGGGCCTCGTCGGTGCGTCGATCGACCGTCATTCGCACGGAAAGAGCGTCGGAATGGAACACTCGCATGGAAAGAATAACGTTGTAAACAATCTACTGTGGAATGTAATGCAGCCGAATCGGTGCCGCAGAATATGTGTATCGGTCATGCAAATATGAACCTTGTGTGCTCACCTGGAAGTTCGGGTTTCCTTTAACGCATTGCAAAAGGCGTACGTACTAGCGTCGATGCGTCGTTTCGGTGTGAATCGTGCTTTACGCGAACGCGATATATTATATATGTTGGTTAATTCTTCAACTAATGAAAGTCGACGCGTGTGGCAATAAGAGATGTCCAATCCGGTTTGTTCCATGGCGAAATTACACAGCGCATGCTGCCGCGGAGTGTCCGACGGGCTTGCTTAATCGTATTACATGCTCGTGCGTCCAAATGCGCATGCTATGCTACGCATGCGTGTTGTAATTTCGCCATCAGCGTGGACAGTGTATGCTGACTGAACGAGTATCGTACTGTCTAGAATATAAGAGTCATTAGATATCCACAAAAATACACATACACAAAAATACACCATTAAATCGAAACCTCCATGTGAACTTCGGCATTTTTAGTCTGTAATTTTTACAATTTACTTTTTATCTGTGCAATTATGATCTTTCATCGGTATTTAGTGAATAGACGTTATATTGTGAATGAAAATGAATAAATTCATACGCAAAATGAATAAGGCATTTTACATTGCAACATAATACATTAAAATTCGATTTTAGAATAATTTACTGTACGCATCTAAAGTCTGAAATTTTCTCGATAATAACAACTGATTAAAGAATGACGACAAAACTTAATACTATTTACTATCTGTGTGTCAAAGTCCGATACTATTTTTGTATAAACCGAAATGAATAGAATTAGCGATTATGATGAATTTTACTGTAGATAATGATCAAACAGTTTGAGTGTACTCAATGTGTAGCTGCTATCAGACGCTTGTGTTCTGTCTTTGTCACTCCTTCAGCGTAAATATTGTGCATCCTTTTCTATATTTATTCCTATTTATACAACTTTAAAGACAGCGGCTGCAGAATAACTTTGACGAGACCAACAAACTGTATTGGACCGCATAATGATGTAGTCTTTACTTAAAAATTTCGGTGATTGAGATTTGGGTATGTAGAATAAATGATAAAAAGATATTTCACGATTCTATGTTCTATGTATCTATTGTGCTTAGACCGTGAATAAACGTTTCTTCTTCTTCTTCATATTAAAATTATGTCATTTGCTAACTGTACTTTTGTTTGAGGACAACGGTACTTTTCCCCTAATCGCAATAAGAGAATTTTATGACTACTTTTTCCCGTCTACGTGTCGATGACACTGAAAATTATTAAAATTTATAATTAATTATTCAAATATAGCAAACATTGAGATCACTCTATCTGTATTAATGTTAACTAATTGTTCTATTTCCTAACAGTATAGCGCCTTTCGCTTATGTTTATCGAATGATACGTTGTATCGTCTCATACTAAAGGTGCGAGTATTCATTAAGGTCGTTTATTTGGTTTTCCCGTTGCTAATAATTCTATTATCGGAATCTTCTATTTTTCGCTAAATTTAAGAGTCAGTTTCTGTTACATTTGTCAAGTATAATTTTCTTCTCAGTTTCGGTTGTAATTTTAGTCTGGTTATATAGTAAAGACAATTAAATCTTCCAAAAATACTGCACCAAAAGACTTATTGATTTTTCAGTCGGTTTGGTTTCTGGAATATTTCGATTTGAGTACACTAAGCATACGAATACTCTGAGAAGACCGTTTAAAACCTCGTCCGATGAGCATTCGTCAAAGGCGTATAATTAATAATATTTTCTACCCTCAATTTGTACACGGAACTAACATCGTCCCGATGTCAGTATATCGGGAAATTCGTTTACAAAAATTATTAAATAGATTCTATTTTTAATACTTCATGTTTAGCTTGTAACGTGAACACGACAGTGCCGGCGAGTGACGCGCAATTGTGGCAATAACAAAGTATTATGCGTACGGATCGACCCGAATAGTTTAAAATTAGACCTTAAGTGACTGCGTTAAAGTACATTCTGACTCACACGTGGGCTATGTGCAAGTAAATTTAGGCTTCGCGTGTGGGACGTGTCTACGAAAATAAAATATATGAAGGTGCTTCAGTTTGTACCGTTGGTGCTAGCCCGTAATGGACGTAACAAATCAGCGGTGGAGATTTCACAAATATTTTATCCTTTATAAGTAACAATATTATTAATAATTGTATGTATGAAGGCTTTTCACGCCACCAAGCATTGATAGTGAGGCCCGATAGGTTTTTAACGTAGTATTTTTTATCGGTATTTGTGACTAATCGCTTCGTCGTCGGCCAGTGATGTGGCTGATGCGGATAGTTTTGTCACTCCAGTTAATATTTTTTATCTGTATTCATTATCCGTTTGGTTGCATCGGCAGATTGGTTATCTTAGATAAACCATCTTCGCTCGTATCTCATAAACAACACTAACATATTTAATATTAAACACGAACATAGCCATCAAATCCCGATGTCTGGTATATTTTGTAGATTATCATAAACGCGTATGTTAAGTAAAGTCTTTATATATTTGAGCTTATGAGTGTAACATAGATTCTATTGATTGATACATAGAGTTCATATTTGATTGTCTAATTCAGTAGAGTAATGGGGTGTACTATCGTTACATTTCGTGCTATATTCAAATGATTGTATTTGTTACGAGCAGTAATGGATTTTTATTTCAATAGATGTGTAAAGTTAATGCTGTAATAGTTTGGCCAAAAATAAAGCTTATTTATTCTAAAGCGACTCTTCATTTTGATACTTTAACTCATCGATAGTGTGTGTTGTAAAATTTTAAGTAAGTAAATTCTTATAAACCCTCTATTATTTAACCAAAAACTATTGAAAATGTGTTCATTTTTATATGTAATTTATTTTCTTTTATATCGTTATTGGATGGTCTTGTTCTTAGATTGTCTGTAGGGTTGCAGATGCGTTGCCACCTTTTAATAACATGGGGTTCCGCTTACCTCTACTTTCGCCGGTCTTCTGTGAGATTGTGGTACTTCTCCGGTCGGACTTGCCCATTCGTGCAACAGTAAAGACTTGCGTCGCCCTACCACAATTAATAAATTGCACGAAATATCTTCTTTTTCTTTTAATAAATAAAAATGAATGTTGGTCAACGCATAACTCAAGAATGTCTGTATCAAATCGGATAGTTTATTTTTTGTATGTTCCTTAAGGTCCACGGAAGGTTTTAATACTATAAAAAAAAAAGAACGTAAAATGTCTGGGCAGTTAGTTGACAATAAATATTGCACGTCGACCTTTGGAAAGAATTTGCTTATTCAGCTTTGTTGAGCGTTATTTCTATCACAGTGTGTGTCGCTTTTCATTCATACGAGTGTGCGACAGAGTTATGGACTGCAAAGGCGCAATGGGCCGTCTCTTTCTGTCTCTTTCCGTCTCTTTCCATGTGCAATATTTATCGGTGTGCTTTATTCGTGTATGCCTGTATTATAATAATTTTAATTTTATCAATGTAGGCGCCAGTAGCGCTAAACACTTATTTGAGATTTAATTGGGTTCTCCTTAATGAAGTCGTTTGTGGAATGTTACAATATGTATTAAATTTTTATTGTCGTTTTTGAAAGGATATTAATTAAAAACAAAGAAGTTACCGTCTAATAGATACTTTTCTTATTTATTTTATGATATCTTTCAAAACAATATCAAACCGTTTTGAATATCTTATGGGATCTCGAAAATGTACATTGCTGATACATGAAAAAGCGTTTGATTTAAAACTAAAATGTACTCTGTTAGTATTTTTTTGTTCTTGGTTATTAGTGACGCAATCTGGTACTTAACCGTATAGTTTGAGCACACCGGTTGTTTCATAAAATTCATCTTTTGGATCTCCGACTTAGGCGCCTCAGGCTCTCGTGAGAGTGTTCGCGTATTACGCGTGCATTTCATCCAAAAGTTGTTTTGTTTCCAACGCTAATTATTTCAACATCTCCTCCAACTTGACGTCGTAGACCCTGCTCTCCACGATCTGTGCTGTGTAGCTGGCCTTCTTCAGCGCTATAGCGACGTGCTGGTCTGTCTTCTGGGAGGGGCAGAACGCCGTCAGGCGGGCTGGCACGTAGTTGGCGCTGAGCATTTTGAGGGGCATCGCTATGGTCATGCAGCCCCGATCTAGAAGTTAAAACATCTCCGTCAGCGAATTTAGAATTTATTTATATACTTAGTCTCACCAACAGAGTAGACAACATCACAAGTAAAAAAAAATATGATGCATAATAAATAAATATGATGCATAATTTCGATTAGTCAAGTAGTCGTAGCATTTGTTAAATGCATTATGATTATTTTTTTTATAAAAGTAAAAAGTATTCGCCTATACATGTCCCACTTCTGGGCAAAAGCCTCTGTAGAGGTATCACGGCATAGGCCTCCACACGACCCCACTACGGATTGGCGGACTTCGTACATCTTCGAATTTTTTTATTGTTTCGAAAATATGCTGGTTTCCTCACAACGTTTTCCTTCACCGCTGAGCACGTGATATTTCAACGCTTAAAATTAAAAATATCATCGGTGCCGGCAAAGGGGATCGAACTCAGGTTGCTCATACATTGAATTAAAGGCGAGCGCCCGGACACTGAGCTATCACGGCTCTTATTTTTTTATATTTACTTGAAAATTAGATGTTCAATATATGTTTGATCCGTTTGACGAACTGGATACTGGACTTGTCTCCTGCGCCAGAGGGTGTGGGTTTGATACCCGCTACTGGAATCATATTGTGTGATAAACATAGGGTTTATAGTGTCTGGATGTTTATATCTATATGTATTTGTTTACAAAATAATTGTATGTTTATCAGTTACCTAGTATCTATAGTACACAAGCTTTGCATAGTTTGGGACTAGATAATGTTGTGTAATAATATATCCTGAAATATTTATTATAAAAAGTAAGATGGTGGCATTCTATCTGAAGGTACTGGGTCCGAAAATACAACAAGAAGTGTTTTGTTTTATTACTCCGTTATAGATGAAACAAGGGTGGTTATAAATGATACTTGTTTTTCTTACGCGTGTGTTTCTTGGGTTTTGTATACTGACGACGTATTGGAATGGAAAGCATCAAACCGTAATAAATGAATAAATATTTCTTGATATATTGGTCCACAAAAATCCAAATTAAGCAAGGCTTGTACTATGGGTACACTAGGTGAGTGGTAAACATTTTTCTAAACATCCCATTTTGTAATTAAGTTTACAGATCAGATATATAAATATACATATACTAGAAAAACCCCCATGTCATCACAGAATATTTCCAGTAGTGGGAATCGAATTAAGACCCTCCTACCCAAGAGACATTAACTGGAACACGAACGCCATCTAAAGAGTGCAATTAGAGACGGAACATTAACATGTAGCGAGATCTCTCACCCGGTATCTTTCTCCTTATGTTGACGTTCTCAATCATATAGATGCCGCTCTTCCCTAGCACGTTGGCGATGGTCCTCGTGGTGAATTCCCTGGTCTGTTCGGACTCGAGTGAGGGCGCGTCGGTCGCCACGCCGACCACGTGGCTCAGGTTTGCCGCTATCCACTCGGCGAGCTCGTAGCTTAAACCTTTTGGTAGAACTCGCTGCGTTATTCATTTGATAATTTTCTATTTTTTTATTTGAGAATGTGGCAAGCCAGCTGTTGGTTCACCTGACCTTAAGTAATAACCGCGGCCCGGTCACTTCACTTACGACTACCAGACAAGACGCAGAAGTGTAGCACTCAATTCACGCCGGTTTTCTGTGAGGTCTTGGTACTCTTCCGGACGGACCTGATACAATGTTGGCCCACCACAATTAAATTGATATATTGCTGTTTAACAAGCGTCTTAATACCAGGTAAATAGCTGCTTTTGGCATTTTAGCTTTAGATGAGATTTATACTGAAATAGTGTAGAAGTCAGGTTTTTACAGTCCGGTTTTTTTTGCAGTTAGCGACTTAGAATTTCAAAGAATGACCGCACCTAATAAAGCGAACTTAGCTTTACATTCGTGTTGACTATTCCCAGGTCGTATTAGTTCACTTCTCTTTTTTTAATTCATTCAAACAACTGTCCGTGAAAAGGATGAACAGTCTGGGATTCTACACAATACTAAACATCAAAACGGTGGTAGGACCACGCAACAGTGTTCGCTGTTGCACGAATGGGCAGGTCCGTCCGGGTTAGTACCACGACGTCACAGAAGACCGGCGTAAAGTAGAAGTGTTGCAATTCTGCGTTTCGTCTGGTGAGTGAGGTAGCCGGGGCCCACATTATAAAGAGGTGGCAACGCATCTGCAACCCTACGGGTGTTGCAAATGTCCATGGGCAGGCGGTTATCACTTAACATCAGGTGAACCGCCAGCTCGTTTGCCATTTTCTCACATAAAAAAAAAGACTAAAAAAATGACATATCTAGAAAAGTAAAGGCAAAATTGCATTTAACAATTTCATTGGTGCCGGACTATGAACTCGGTGAGTTGCTGGCAACCTGACATTCAAACTGTGTAAGTTACGCTCGCTTGTTCGGCATCACCTCTAAAATAGAAGATCGTGAAACTACCGAAAGCTGGACGGAGTCGAACTTGGCACTCACCAGGTATCTTGCAAACGCACCGTCTCTTGTACGTGACGGTTCTCTTCCAGCCGAATTTGAACAGCAGCAGCGTCGGCTCCCTGGGGTCGTGCTTCAGGGCGGACCATTGCAAGGCCTGTTCCAACGAGACCACGGCGCCTTGGTGCACCCTCGTGATCGGGGTCATGTCGATCACCTCCACTGTGTGATTGGAAATTTAAATTTCTAAAAAGCAACGGCGACATCTCACAACGATATTCGAAATTGTTTGTATGCTGGAGGATATAACAATTGATGCGCCAAGCATTGCTTTAAATGCTGTTTTTATAGCATTTAAAGCAATGCTTGGCGAAGCTTAATGTAGATAAAAGACGTTAAGATTACTTCAGTGTGGCAATCAGCCGTTTAGCTTAGTGGCTAAAGCGTCAGGCCGCGAATGCCGAAGACGGGGGTCCGATTCCCACAGTGGCGACAATCTATTCGTACTTTTTCTACAAATTTTAATGTTAAATCTTAAGTGCAGATATTAGCAGTATTAAAAATTTAAAAGCACCACACTTTTTTACAAAGTCGGATTTAGAAATAGCATTTTCCGCCAGCCCACCAAAAACCCAAGTGATGGTTGAGTTGTAAGGTATTGGTAATTGGTATTTCAAAATACTTCTGATGTCATCACAATCGTCAGCAATTAAGCTGATGATTGTGATGACATCAGAATCAAAAATGTACGTCATTGAATTAACTGTGATTTTTTTTTGAAATTACGTGATGAACTGTGAATTGAACGAAAATAAATAGTACTATCAGGTATGATTCGCAGTTACCTCTAGTACAGTAAACGCAAATCGTCTAAACCTACGGTTGTGAACACTTACGCCTTGTCAGCAGATACTCTGTGGGAATAACTGCAGGCTGCATGGACCCCGTAGAGCTAGTGTGCTCTAAATGTATCGCCGTACCCAAAGTAGGAATGCCGCAATTCACGCATATTCTCCTGTGAAAGTAGTGTTTATTCTGAATTTTTCCTTTTGGATGCAAGTTTATTATTCACTCTTGAATAAAACTAATTTTGATCTTATATTGAACCCTGAGATGTATCTGGGTTTAGTTTGAAGAGGTTTGAATTGCTTTTTTTATAATTCATATTATTCCAATACATCGATAGTGTCCAAAGGTAAAATTAAAAATATATTTAAATTATCATCTTCTGTTGCAATAAGTATGTGACTGTTCATTCATTCTACAAGTACAATATTGAATAAAAAGGAATAAAGGAAATAAAAAAGAAAAAAACAAGGATATCTATTAGAAGAATATCTATAAAAGAATATCTATTTTTTTAACTTTGTGACTTTTATATTAAAAAAATTACTATAAATTTGGGAGTGAGTTCACTACAACACTGTATTGAATATGTGAAACATCTAAACTGCACAGAACAAGTTTGGACTTGGGTTTCATTAACAGTAAATTATATTTTTTTAAAGTAATATAAAACTCACCAATGCTTTTCTATCGCACCGTAGTAGTCCATAAGGTCCTTCCACGTCGTCGGTGTTGTCAGATCGAAGACGTCAATAATAGAAAGCTCCTCGTCCATACGCTTACTGTCAAAGCTCCCTCCACGGAAGAGGAAGCTGTTGATAAGGAAAAAGATATAAATTTTGATCGACCCCCGCATCGCTCCGATGTTTTCAACGAATGAAATGAACCGAGAGCATGCCGAGTCGATGTAAACTTCGTACCGCGATCGTTTACAGTTAGACAGATCAACAGCATTGTTTACAATGTATCATGCGATTGAACTAGCGTTATTTATTGTTTGTGACCGGCCAACAATACGATCGGAGTCATAGTTTGTGTCGCGGCTTCGTAGTTGTTGCCTGAAAATGTCGTGGTGGGAAATATGTTGGCTTTAGTTTGTGTCGTTGCTGAGTTCGAGTCGCTTTGGTTGACCACAACTTGTATGAGTTACTGACACGCTATATAGATTTTCATGCACATTTTTAAACATTGCCCTTACCGTTGGACAAAATTATTCTGTGTTGTGATGTTTTACAAATAAATTTCACTTCGATCAAACACCCAGATCCGAAACAGTTATATGTGGGTCTCATAAACCATTTTCCCGTATGAAAATAGAACCCACGACCCCCGACGTTGAAGTCATCACCTCGACAACAGCGCCACGCAACGGAGTCATCTAATCTCAAGTGTTGATAATTTTTTATTCTTTTTTATTAGATATAAAAAATATCAATTATTTTATCATAATTTGATATGATTTTTTTTAACTGTTAAACATTTTTGGTTTAACTGTTAAGCATCTATTGCTTTCTCAGTCTTTCAAACAGGGGGACATAAGTTATATTTTTTTAACTGTGCATTAGAAGAGACAACGTATTGTTACACGGCTATTGATTTTATTTGTGTTTGTAAATAATATGACAATGTTCAATGTGATATTAAGCGGTGCTGTTAAATTCCGTGCATATTTTGTCACGAAATGCCATCTACTAGACATTATACTTATAATAATATACATAAGTATAATGTCTAGTATAGTCTACATATATTTATAATAGTATAAAACAAAGTCCTCCCGCTGTCTGTCTGTCTGTCCCTATGTATGCTTAAAACTCCGCAACGGATCTTGATGCGGTTTTTTTAATATATACATATTGTAAATACTTATATAAACACCCACACACTAAAACAACACTATGATCATCACATAATATTTTTCCAGTGGTGGGATCGAACCCACATCCTCCGGCGTAAAAGTTACTACCCATTAGGCCAATCGGGTCGTCATATATATATCAAGATTTATTCCTTTTCTCTATACACATTTTTAACAATTTGTCGCGTCTTAAATATTCTGCCTTATTGGTTACATAATCTTGTTAAATTTTTCTTTTTATTTTTTTATTATTTGGTACCTATTTCCTGTTAATTTGGTCTTATCATAATTTAGTTACTAAAAATCTTTAATGTTGCAATCAAAGTGGAAGTTTGTGTAAACATTTATGAAAACACATATTAACCGATCGAGAATTTAGACCAGCCCAGTAAATAATAATAGGAAACTGTGGAGTTTTTCTTACAAGATAAAAACAATATATTATAAAAACGGTAATAGCTTCGTTCAAATGTTTTTTTAAATGGGCCTCACAAGTGTTATTCTCATATCTATTCTAAAATGTTAAATTGCTTCAGAATTTCTTTAAAAACTTAGTTTCTAGTGTCAGGCCTTCAATTATTACTTATTATAAAAGCAACATACGGATGTTTTCTTTATATACAGGCTAATCTAAATTGAGTTTTAACAATTTAGTATTTAATATTTAAAACTAACTTTGTTATTCTATTTGCTGATTTTTAGAAATCAGTAAATATGTTAAGACAAAGTAAGATAGCTGAGTTGTTATAGGGTCGCTAAGTCTAAGATATCACCTGCTCGTCGTAAATGTCGACCTGATCATTTGAGAAGACCTGAGGGGCGGCAGTACGAAGTGGACATTTAAAGTATTAAATAAATTCGGTCAAGTGCGACTCTGACTCAAGTGGTTTCCGATCCGTTATCCATAAAAACGCCAAAAAATCATGCCTGTTGTATGGGAGTCCCACTTGAATACTAATACAAATAATAAAAAAAATAATTAAAAACATGTTTTTATAGCGCCAACAAAAATACATCATCTGTGAAAATTTCAACTGTCTACCTATCACGGTTCATGAGATACACCCTGGTGACATACGGACAGACGGACAGACAACGGAGTTTTACCCTTTTTACCCTTTGGGTACGGGACCCTAAAAATTTGTAAACTTCAAAATTCATATACGATGTCAAGCTAACCACACGAGCTAGACTTTATTCGCATTCGGACACCTTATATTTATTATATCTGTTGATTGCCGAAGACGATCGGTGCCATTATGCTAAGCTGGAAAAGAATATCGCATAAACCTAATTACAGTATTATAAGGCGTTATAATGCAAACGCAGTAGATAAGATGTTGATTTTCGTGCAGTGAGTATGTTGACGCTTAGCTTTTAGTGGTTAGAGCATTTTGACGCGTAATCCGGAAGGCGTAGGATCGAATTCTAACAACCACGAAAAAAACTGCGACAGTTCCATCCACGCATAAAGAATTCGAAGAGCCGTGATAGCTTATTGTCCGGGCGCTCGCTTTTAATTCAATATACTCGAGCAACCTGAGTTCGATCCCCAGTGCCGGCACCAATGAAATTCTTAATTATAAGTGCCGAATTATCACGTGCTCAGCGGTGAAGGAAAACATCGTGAGGAAACCTGCATATTTTCGAAATAATAACAAAATAAAAAATTTCGAAGAAATGTGAAGTCCGCCAATCCGCAGTGGGGCCGCGTCGTGGACTAAGCCCTGATACCCTCTGTACAAAGGAGGCCTTTGCCCAGCTGTGGGACATGTATAGGCTGATACTTTGCTTTACTTTACATCTGCGCATTTTTAAGCTTCATCTTAAATGCAGGGACAAGCACTAAAAATTTAATTTTTAATTTCAATAGCAAAGACTACTTTAGTTTGGTTTTCATCTACAAACCCTCGGGTGTAGCAGATGTTCATGGGCGGTGGTATTCACTTAACATCAGGTGAACCGCCTGCTCGCTTGGCAGCTTTTCACATAAAAAAATTTTCAATATTCTTTGGTTATTCGATATGATGTTCATATCGAAAGACAATTTGTATAATTTAAAAATAGCAGTTACCTCTGTTATTGCTTAATCAACAAGTATTCATCTGTCGTATTTTTTAAAATTATTTTATTGATAAAATGAAAAAAAGAAAGAATAGTTTAGATTTTGGTTTAGATAGAAATAGAAAGAATAGAATAGAGAAGATAGAAAAAGAAAGAATAGAATAGATAGAGATAGAATAAGTCATGATGTAAATAAAAGTAAGAATAATAATAATAATTATTTTATTGCATAAAAAACCTACGGTAAGTATATACAGTTGAGTACAAGGTAATGTTCGAAATTTATAAAGAAATATTAAAGTTTCCCTTTCACGATCAGTGAGAGTGCAAAAATGCGATCTTAAGCGAATTTTGTCTATGAACAAAATTACTAAGATACAAAAAATGAACTTATTTAATTTAATAAAATAGACCGTATCATTTCAATCTGAGCAAATACTTACGAGGAATATAATATTGCACTAGTCGAAGTATTAAGGTACGATATACTTAATTTAGTCGTTGGTTCAAATTAAATAATAAAAAATGTCGTGAAAGGAAAATCAATATAAACCAGAAGGCATGTCGGTTACTTTGTGAAGTCCGTAATTGTTGACCGAGCCGGCGGGCGATAGTGTGCGTTTTAAATCGGCAAAGCTGTGCGTTCCATTCATCACAAGGCTTGTCATACTGGCAGGTGCATCGCGCAGAATGTGTTGACCGGAGTAAAAGCCAGCGTTACTGTGGCCTCGCTTAACGATGAAAGTGTTGCTGAAATTCGATGCTGCATGTTTATCTGCGTATCCCGCGCCGATCTTTGAATGTTGTAGCCCACCGAACTTTTGCTGACTCTCGTTCCTGGCTAGCAAATCGTCCTTCCCGTTTCGACTTGATGATCTGGAGTGGTAGGTGCGGTTTGCTTTACTATTAGATCTAGTCAAAGGCATCAATGGCGACTCGTTGCCTGCGTCGCTGTTGGTACGTGAACACGATCTCTGTCTCTTTTCATGAGGCCATGACGTTTTATTCGACTCATTCGTGACTACAATATCAACTATGGTGTTTAGACCTTCATCAATCCTATCTAAGCTTTTCGTTAGTTTCTTTGATTCTATGAGACTTACAATTTCATCTACCCGACTACATTTCGAATTAGTTCTTTGTAATGAAGCGTGTTCTACAACAGGTTTGGGTTCATTATGGAACATACTATCTATATATTCCCGTTGTCGAGAGCCTTTCTCAGATGCTTGGAATGATTCACTTCGTTTTACCGATGCCTTTCTACACTCTTCTCTAGATCGTGTTCTGGAACGCTTACTTCTATTTTCCTCCGCATCTTTTTCAGCAATAGAGTTGAATATTGCTCGGCATTCATTAAAATCGAAGCTACTGATGGAGTTCTTTTTAATAACTACATTTTGACATCGCGATGCACTTAGTAAAGAATCGGAACCTTCGTCGCTCGAGAAATAGTTGTCTTCGAATAAATCTGGGGGTTTATTGTAGAGCATTCCTTGGTCGACCGGTGGGACAAATAAGTGGACTAAGCTTTTAGCTTTTCTCGGTGGATGCGGCAATATTTTACTGGGAACAATTTCAGCTTCCTCTTCTTCATCATTATTTTCATTTAGAAACTCCGTGCTGCCTGTTATTTGAATGCTGTGCCTTGTGCTTGTGATAGAATCTTCTTTTTCAACTTTCCTGTGCTTTTGACACTCCATACCATTAACAGAGATATTGATTTCTGAAGAGTCGTTGCATCTCGAGGAATTATCACAAAACAAAGTTTGATCTTTAACGTATTGTTCTGATTCGGCGTGATTTACTATATTTCTTAGTTCCTGAATTACTTCATCGATTGTGGTTTCGTCATCTTCGTCTGAAGATTTTTTATTGTCACTGTGTTTTTTGGAGCTTTCCAATTTCTTATGTATTGTCCGTTTGTTTCGTAAAAGATCGTATGTTTCATTTTTAATGTTAAAAACTTCGTATACCATGGATTCTCGTTGTGGGTCCGCCTCGGGACTTAGGGATCGTTCCGAAGAACTTATACCTTCATCTTCAGGTGGCGACGATTCACCTGTAGAAAATATTTCCTAAAGTTTAGTAAATGTTTGAATAGAATGAAGAGAATATCTTAATCATTAAATTTTACCTCGGTTTGGGTGAGTTGAATTCTTTTTCTTAATTACAAAGGTCTTCTTACGGTTAGAGTTGCCGTGTTCTGACCTTAAAGTTGTTACCTCTTCTTGTAATTCACAACACTTTTCCTTTAAGCATTTTTCTAAAGACAATAGGATCCCCTTTTCTTCTTGTAGAATCTGTAAGTAAATTTTTGTAAAATTGTTTTATCGTGTACTATAAAAATCCAGATCAAAATTTCGTTATTAATCTTACACTTTTACCATTTCAATAGTCATAATTTGTTATCATTCGCATTACAATGAATGTCATGTTTACACGTAATAAAGTAAAAGTGCACTTCCCCTCTTTTTTAACGACATGGTCATACTGATTGACTCAGGTTCCAAATACTGTGAAGTTCTAGTGAACAACACTTTCGTACATGCGTTACGAAAAATATTAGGAAGAGATAATATGGACGTGTTACTTGTAGATGTAGTATTGATATTTCGGCCTTGAGTGGCCAATTTTGCTGATAAATAATTAAAGTAAAATTACCATTTTAAACAATATTTCTCAATTTTATTTCAATATTTTCTCGATATGTAAACCGGGCTGGTAATGTTCAGTGTATTAGTTTACCTTCACGCGTTTTTCCAGTAGCTCCAGTTTATGTTTTAGGTCGTCCTTTTCCTTTTGAGCTTCATGCGCCTTTTCACTCAGAGTGTCGATGTCTATTAGTTGCTTTTCATAATTTTCTATTTCTCTTGTAAGGTTTTCATTTGTATTTGGAAGCTTGGTGATTATCTGTGGGATATTGTAAAGTGCACGTTTGAATCCATTTTTTCAAGAAAGATAATTACTCAAATAAAATATTATTTTATTAGCAAAATGTAAGTTATGAATCAGAAAGTAATTACTTGATTTATTTTTTCCATAACTACCTTTTTCAAAGTAATTATGTCGAATCCGGCTTGTTCCAGTTCTGCCTGGATGTACAGTTTCCTTTGAGGAGTTGGGGCGCTTGCTAGTAATGCGTTGATGAAGGCTAGGCCAGCCGCTTGCAAGTCCCCAGAACCTCCAGAGCTTTGCAGCATTCCAACGAGGAATCGAAAGCGGACCGGCTCCCCGTAGCGAAGGCGGAGCGTTGATAGAGCTTCGGAAATCATGCTGTGTCCATTTGCCGGTGGATAGCATCCCTTGGTGAGGAGCTGAAATGTTAAGATATACTTGATATTCCCGAAAAATATTTCGAAGATATGTAAAGTCCGCCAATCCGCAGTATGGTTGCGTGGTGGACTAATACCCCCTGTATTTGATGTGAAGCTCTCTGACAGTAAGGTTTAAGATTAATAAAAATAAATCAGAGAGACGTTAGAAAGAATACCCTTTGTACAGAGATTGTAGCTCCGAAATGGTACTTGTAGTACGGTAAGTGGACGATAGGAAATATATAACTATTTTTAATAAATAATGCACTTTTTCCTTTTATACTTCAGTTAAGTGGTAGTAATTATCTGCCCCCGAATTTTATACTTCTAATAATTAAGCTTATTACTTATTAGAAGAATAAAATTTAAAATTTAAAAAAATAAATAAACAGTATATAAGGAATAACTACGATTTTTAAACAAAATCTCGGATTACGGCTGGTTAAATTTCGTTTAATGTAACCCTAGAGGAAACAACGTGGACGTACGTCGATTGCCGCAAGAAAACCTTTCGTCGTATCTCTACTTCTTGAGAGAACTCGTGTTGCCTCAGCTTCGATTGGTTGATTTATATATAATAAAGTTAGTAGTCACTGTTTTTTACTGTAAGCTTTTTCGTTTGAGGGCACTTTTAGAGTGGATTGAAATGTGTTGATCTACGAAAGTATACCTGCAGGGCGAGAACTCTCGTCTTGTTGACCGTCGACATGATGCACACCGTAAGTGCATAAACACTGTTGGAACCCGCAACCAGCCTTCGAACACAATCCGAGTACCTTGTGCAGCAGCTCCATAAGCATTGCCTATAACACGTAATAGAAAAATGAGTTCGTACACGGTGCTTGGTAATTTATGTATATACAAATTGTAGATTCCTGCACCAACATTTATGTGACAGAGGTGATCTCAAATATATAAAAATGACATCTTTCTGAAGCAGTTCGTAAACATATTTTCAAGCGATTTCAAAAAAGAGTTGGTTCCCAATTCAGGTTTTTTACTTTAGAACTTCGTCATATAAGAAACGATTTTAAAAATTATTTTTCAAGTAGGTTCTTTTTGTTCCCATGTGGTCTCATATAAATTTCATTGTATAAGAAGTAAGTTAATAGCAGTCGGTTTTATTTTTTGTTAATAAAAATGCAATTGTGTAGTTTTCATACTTTCTCTTACTTAAAGTATTGTAAGTAGGTAACACGTACTTTAATGTATATAGACAGAAAATTGGGCATGTTTTTAACTTTACTTTGGAATTATAGAGTCATTGTTGTGAAATATGCTGACAATAATTTCTATTTTTGTCTGTTTAAGTGTCGACGGAATAGAATGATTATAAAAACTGACTGTAGCAATGATGGAAAACCTCGTGAGAAAACCTGAATATTTTCAAAAGAATAACGAGACAAGAAGTCCGCCTATCTTCTCTGTAGAGGAACCTTTTACCAAGCAGTTATAAAGGCTATTCTTCTTCTTCTTCTTCTGCCCCTGATCCCATTATTTGGGATTAGGTCTCCTCACTCTTCAGCGCCAAGACACACGGTCTTGGTTTATCACGTCAGGGATAAAGGCTTACTTTACCTTTAAGGAAAGGGATTACTTTACCTAAAAGCTCCAGAATCATTTTGGATATTGCACATGTACTTACAGACAAGCCAATTCATCCAAAAGTGGTCTTCTCCTTACAGCTGGTGGGCCTCGAGCACCATCTCCTGTTTGGCTTAGCTGCACATTGCGCAGTAGTTCCAGCAGTAATGTCACGCCGTCCAACGGCTCGCAAGAGAACTCTTGGACGAAGCTGAGAAAGGGGATATTTAGACAGCCATTAGGAAGAAATCTTCCTCGAAGTACTCGTACATTAGCAATCTTTTGAATTTTACCTATGGATACTATATTCGGGATGTGTTTTGGATAACTAATACTAATTATCTGTTAGGAGGTTCGCAATTCATATAAGTGTATTATTCACGTTTTAAGATTAACTTTCATTTTAAGTGCTAGTCTCAGCATTCATGACGAAACTTTAAATTGTGAATTTTTGTAGATAAATGAACAAAAACTTTCCGCATTTCGAGATTCGAGCCTGCGTACTCTGGTTTTCACAACTATGTTTATTTTTTGCTATGTATTATATTGAAACTATTGCATCCTTTACAGCATTCAACACCTCACAAACGATAAGATAAGATAAGAATTTGTAACGAGAGACGTTGCCTTTGCTCTATATAATTTTAGGATTATTTTTTTAATTTTTAGTGCTCTGCACTCCAGGTATTACTTAAATTTTATCCAATTAATTAAATAAAAATATACACTAGATGGCGCCCAGATAACGTAGGTAGATGTCGAGATAGCCGAATTTTCGCGTTCAGTGAGTAGGTCGTCAAAAATTGTTATCCTGTATAGCATCGTCATTTAGCTCCAAACGCACAGGAAATGCATCACGAAGAAAACTTCCCTTCAGCTAAAAATAGCCGTTGCGTGCAATTATCGTATTACATATTTAAACGGAGTCCTCTTCGCGGTACATTAGCGGGTCGTAACCGTGGACAGGACTTACTCGAGCCGCCGCCAGTGACATATGTAAAATGACAGTCCTCGTGTAATATAGAGACATAAAGAATAATTACTGTCTCCAATTACCCGACTGAAGGGCCCAGTAGATTAAAAAACAGAATGTAATGTTACAGGTATAAGGCCGAGAGAAGGTAGTTTTAGTTAGAATGATAGTATTACTTGTTTCCTTAGTTACTTTGACATGGTGCTCTTTCAAAGTGAAATAAGAACTGCGTAGTATTACGGTGTTGGGACCACGCAGCAGTCTTCGTTTGCACGCATGGGCGAGTCCTAAACCTCACAGAAGACCAGAAGTGGAAGTGTTATATACTTCTGTGTTTCATTTGGTGAGTGAGGTAGACGGGGCCCACTTTATTAAAAGGTGGCATCGTATGAGTGTTGCAAATGTCCATCGTCGGCAGTTATCTATTAACTACAAGTGAACCGCTAGTTTATGACTTACTCACTTAAAAAAAGATACAGCTAAAAAAAATACAGCAAGACTGTAAATTAAATTATCTATACTTTTCGCTTCGTCTGTGGTGTGATTGGGCTTACTCTTGTAGAAAAGCCAAGGTATCTGCAACCTCAAAGGGTTTGCTGATCTTCTTGGGCCGCGCAATTGGATACTTTACTAAATACCTTACTATAAAGTGTATAGTTTGCTCGTAAATAACCTTATAACAGAAGTTTGGGCTTACGCCTATAATTTAGTAAGTTAAAGGAAATGCGCCAATTTGTTCGCGGATTTTATCTTAGGTAACATTAGGTCAGGTGTTGACTGATACTATTATATTAATTGACTAAATAATTTTCAAACATTTTATAGTGAAAGTGATTGCATTTTGAGTAATGGCGATCGATGGTACTTTTTATTTTACAATGCTTTTACAACCGAGACAAAATAATGTATTGAAGACTTCTGTATAGACTTTTTCCACAAATTAGATCCTTAAAATTATAGAAGAACTGCTGTTACTTTAGGACGGGAACATTAAGGAATGTTTGCGAAAAATTTTTTAGTTAATTACCATCTACATAAACTTAATAAAGTTAACTAAATAATACGTTACATATAAAAGAGAAGTAAAAGATATAACTTGTATGGAGCCCTCAACACAAGGAGCTTTTAATAATTGACACAATAAAGAAATAGAACTTACTGAGATATATGTAATGTATTTACTGAGGAGTTTATTATTTTGTAATGTATTTATTAACTCACCTTGGAAAAGAAAGTCTAAGATCAGCTCGCAACTTGGTCAGTAACTCGCTTGGCGTGCCGAATTGCCTTAAGCTCATCTCCTCGCCAAGACCCAAACATGGATTTCTGTAAAGAACAATAAAAATTCTCAGGAACTCACCAGTTGATAGTTTATTTATGATATTACATATGATTGAAAAAAAAAAAAAACTTAATATTCACTATAAACGGTTATTCAATGTAACACGTATTTCAAATATGTTGTAAGCGGATCAAACTCAAGGTCAAAAAATATTTATGTGCAATTAAGAGCAAGCTCTAATGAACGTTTAAAACTACAATCTAATCTAAAGGTTAACAAGAGTCTACATTTGCTTGCCAAATTAGACACATTTTAGCACTATTTGGAGACTTTTGAAGTTATACTTCTTTTGACACTTTAAGGAAAAATGATGAGAGTAAATTTTTACGATGGGCGCGCACACCGTCACGAAAAACCGACACCCTGAAGTTAGCTAGCCATCTCTGTATGTTTGCGTGAGAACTGACAATTGTATTCACGATATTTATATTGTGATATTTAAATAAACTTTATTTAAGTAGATAATGCGTTATAATAAAACTTTCAGTTAATTAACCTTTTTATATTGTTAGTGTCGTTTTTTTTACAAACGTATAAGGTAAACGGTTTTACAAAGGTATTAAGGCGAAACATAAAATTTTTGAAAAGATTTTTATCTTGTTACGCTAAAGAAGTATAACTTCTAACGCGTGTAAATAAGTAAACACACACTTTTTTTATAATGTCCCATTCAGTATCATATCTTTTCTCTCACTCGCTCAGACCTCAAGCCTTATCGTGTATGTGCCTTATGCGTTCGCACACTTATAACGGGCACAGTTTACAATCTGTGTTGTAAGTAAAGATAATGATTAGCGTTAAAAAAGAGCAGATGAGAAAAAAATCCAAAGGAGCTAACTTTTATCCGTAATTTATTTACATAAAATTATTAACAACTAGCCTTTCGACCGCGGCTTCGCTCGCGTTGAAGCCCTTAAATAAATAACTTTATTTAATTTTTATTTAAAAAAGAATCCTATGTCATTTTCAATACCTCAAAAATGTGCACGAAGTTTCATGATACTCGGTTGAGTAGTTTTGGCATCATATCGTAACAAACAAACTTACATTCACATTTATAATATTATAATAATATAATAGGATTAGGAATAATGTAGCAGACAAATTATTGTCATTTAAATTTACTTTCGTCTGATCAAGGCGCATCTCATTGTCTACTGCAAAGTCTAAATTACAAAACTTTAGCTTATATCGTAATAGATAGACAAAAATTATTTAACAGAAACAAATGTAAGTTAATTGAATCTGTATTATTCCCCGAATATTAGAACCTCAAATTATTTTTTTTTAGAAATTTAAATTGTTTATAGTGCTAATCTTTGTATTTTTCTACATATTTTAAAACCCCAAATTATATTTAACTAAAATTTCATGGGCGATTAAGAAGTATTTCTTGTTTCTATCTATTTAGGTATTAAAAAATACTCTAATATATTTGCTTAATAACCGTGAAACAACTATATTTTGACACCATAAAATGCCGACGTAGCTTACTAGTATAAACCATATAACACGGTTCAAGCCGAACGTGATTTAGTCAGAAATACGCTAAATTTTAAGTATAGCTAGTGATTTAGTCAAGATGATGCCTCACAATCACAGTGATTTATTCACCAATATTAAGTCAACAATTAGCACCAAGCACAAGTCCAATTTCTACCGACTTCAAAAAAGGAGGTCAATACAGGATCAAGGAAAAATACAGTCGAATCGAGAACCACCTCCTCTTACGAAGTCGGGTGAAAAGCGTAAATAGCGAGCAAACTTTACACCCTACGAAATAGCAGGAAATATTGAGTTGATAAATTGCAATTAAAGCAGTGAATGCTATAAGAATTCGATTGACGGTTGGCTTCAAACCGGCGTCCAGTGCTATCTCGTCGCAATCCGCGGATACAGGGGCCCGATTAGCCGACATTCTCGACGGGGTTACGGTACAGAAATTGTTAAAGCGAATGCTGCGATTGCATTTCGAATGGTGCGCAATCTTGCGGTAAAAAATTGCGGACTGATGTGCAACCAGTTAAATTACATTGGGAATCTATCTTTGATGCACTTTAAAGGCTTTGCATTTGAAAATAGTCAAAGAGGCAAATAGATCGTAACCGGCATGGCTTTGATCTTTAATCTAGTTTGTAAGTTATTTCAGTCGGCAGTCTACTGTGTGCATTTATTTCTTTTACTAAATTAATTAACTACAGTATCCATTTACGATTTCTCGTAGGAGTAAATGTGTCAAAGTCCAAAATTAAAAAAAATAGGCTTGTTTGTATGCTGGAAAGGATATAACAATAGATGGCGCCAAGCATTGCTTCAAATGCTAAGAAAACAATGTAGAAGAATGCGTTAAGATTTTCGTCGGTGTGGCAATCAGTCGTTTAGCTCTGTGGCTAGATCGTCAGGCCGCGAATGCCGAAGACGTGGGTTCGATTCCCACAGCGGCGACAATCTTTTCGCACTTTTTCTACATATTTCAATGTTCAATCTTAAGTGCAAAGATTAGCACTATAAACTTAAATTTGTTTATAACTCTTATTAAACTTAAAAAACTACCACCGCTTCACAAAATTAGACCTGTCCTGTGAAGAATCGGAATGAAACTACGTTCTCGTTTCAAATGTTTATCCGTAATGCATATCCTGTCTCCTGTGGAAAAGTTTAACATCGGGTAGTTTTTGTTTCTGCAAAGGATCCCTTTCTAGGATCATCATTGCTTTGTCCATTAAAGTTTCCGCTCAGTGCGACGTTCTCAACAAAATCAAAGTCAAAATCAAAACTTTCTCAATATAGGCTTATCTTAAGCTCCTATTGAACGTCAAAAACGCTCACCGGTTCACTAAAATAGACCTATCTAGAGAAGAACCGGAAAGAAATTCGCGCGGTCTTCACAACACGAAAGTATATTTTTTATGTAACTACTCAAAAGTTACAAAAAGTATATTCTACATTATTAACCCCCTATTCCTATTTTAGTCTTTTACGACGGATATGGGATGCCATGACATGCTTAGCCCTATTTTATGACCCCGATGTCATGCTCCGAGTGGCAGAGCGGAAACCTATATATTTGTCAAAACGGCAGCTACAGATAGATTCTGACTTGAAACTGATAGTACACTAAATATTTAACCACAGGTTAAAGAAGAAAAAACTGTTTCAAAATATATGCAGTAACATCAAAAACGTAAAGTAACAGCTTATGTATATCCCACTGCTGGGCAACGGTCTCCTTTGTACAGAGTTTATTAGGGCATAGTCCACCACGCGCTCTCTTGGATTGGTGGGCTTCACATACTTTGAAAATATTTTTTTTTATTGTTTCCTCACGATAAGCAACACTTAAAATTATCATTTTCATTGTGTGTGGCAACGGTATTTGAACTCAGGTTGCTCCAGTATATTGAATTAAAAGCGAGCGTCCCTACAATGAGCTATCGCGGCTAAAACGATAAAAACGTTGCCACATATGAAATCAAAATTTAATAGTCACAGCTATTAAAAATATAGAACAGTTACCTACCAATTATTGTAAATCAACTTCGAACACAAAATACTATGTATGATAATAATAATCTTTAACGTGTAATTTTAATGAGATGTAGAACTTGTTTGAACAGACTTTCACTACTCTCAATCATATTTTTTATATAAACTAAATTACTTTTTAAATCTATTGGTTCACACTACATTTTGCCACGTAACCAATTTATTAAAACAATCTCTCACTTGCATATTTTTGAAATAATAACAGAAAAACCATACTTCGAAGATATGTGAAGTCCGCCAATACGCAGTGGGGCCGCGTGGTGGACTATGTCCTGATACCCTCTGTACAAAGGAGGCCTTTGCCCAGCAGTGGGACATTTATAGGCTGTTGCTTTAATTTCTTTTATCTTTCATAAGATCAAGATGGCTATTGTTGTTATTGTTTATAGTTTTCATAGAGTTTATTGTGTTTCAAACATACTAAAGCTTATCGCCGTGATCCAAGTGCGATTTAAAGTACTGGTATTCCTCATGGGTTCAGAAGACCATGAGTTTATAAACCGAATGTGACTCCATTTTCCAGCTATTAGTTTCGTTACTTCGCCATAAAATCTTCCATTGCTTAGAAAAGTTTAGAGCCGTTGTAGCTGTGTCCGGGCGCTTGCCTTTAATAACATTTACTCGAGCAACCTGAGTTCGATTTGTCATTGTGATTGAAATTGTCAATTTTAAGTGCTGAATTATCACGTGCTCGGTGAAGTAAAACATTTTAAGGTACCTGCCTATTTTCGAAATAATAATAAAAAATATGAAAATATGTGAAGTCCGCCAATTCAAGTCGCCGTCAAGCGACCCCCTTGGTGGACTACGCTCTGATACCCTCTTCACAGAGGAGGCCTTTGCCCAGCTGTGGGACATAAAAAGGCTGTTACTTTATAGAAAAGTTTATCGTTATATCAAACCTAAAGTCTTTGTTGCTCTGACTTGGTAGAGTTCTGGCCTTGTTCGGGTCTTGTCCAGGATCCAGCTCGTACAGGCTGCCTGCGCCAGTTTTCTTACCCCATTTCTTTAGGGTCGTCGCGTAGTCCTCCGGGTTGTAAATGGGGGGTCGCTGCTTCTCCTGTAAGTAGAAGAAAATAATAAATTTTAAAAACAATTTAAATAATAATAAAAAAGGGAATAAGGAATCGGTGTATTTTGTTGCGGTAAGAGATAATCGGGTAATTTCGGCTTCGTTATATCTAGTGCAAGATACAAAAAACGACTGACACATAGATAGTGAGTGCAGTTGGTGAGCTTTGCCCTACCTTTATAGCTATACTATGCACCTATTAAATTAGACATTTAAGCATCTATGTCCGTCGTAAACGTAATATATAATAAAATAGATATATCCAAACGGGATTATCAACAGAATTTTTTTTTCCATTTACTTAAAATTGCGCTCACGTTGCGATAAAATCCTGAGATGACTTTGTTATGTAAAAACGAATCACAAAAGCAAATCACATAATGAAAAAAAAATCTTGATGCAAAACAATATCTGTAAGGTAATATAAAATAATTTTCCCGTTGCGTTGCCTGCAACAAATTGATGCGCAAAAGTCAAATAATTCCTGAAAGAAACCCGAAAAACGGAAAACTTATGGTTGCTTAACTGAGATTTTTCAGTCTTTGGACCAGTCGGATAACTCAGATTCAATCTCCAATGCTTGAGACTGAATCTGAGTCTTACTGTTTAAATCAGACGTGTCAGTCACTAAGTCAATACCGCCAAATGTATGTATAAATAATATGGCTGGCTCAGAGTTAATCGAAAGTAACTGACGTGAAATAACACGGTCGGTTGATCAAAGCGTATCTAACTTATCTATTAATAAGGTCTTTAGCGTTCAGTGATCACGGCGACTCCGCTTCCGACAGGGAACGTTGGCTCCCCTAAATTAAATACTTACCCTACAAAGATCATGTCACGCCTGAGAAAGCATTTTGAGCTTGGGGTACCAGAAAACCTATTAAAACTTTTACTTCATTGAAGTAGTTACAAGATAGTAATTATTAACATAATCTAAAAGGTTTTATATATCTACGTTACATAAAAATTTAGTTATATAATATAGTTCTTATAATCGATTCATACGTAGTAATTTAATCATATAATTTCAGATATCTTATATATATACATATATATGTATATGACTACCTGATGTTAAGTGAATACCGCCACCCATGGACATCATATCTGCCATACCCGAGGGTTACAGATGCGTTGGCAACCTTTTCGAAAATTGGGCTCCGGCCACCTCACTCACCAGACGAAACGCGAAAGTATTTGTCATACTTCCACTTTACGCTGGTCTTCTGTGAGGTCGTGGTTCTTACCCGGATGGGCCTGCCCATTCGTTCAACAAAAGAAACTCAAAGAAATTGTATCTCTTTATGATATAAGTATAGATTATTTAGACTCCAATTAAAGAGACGGTAAATAGTTAACACCTGGCCGACAAATTGTGATCTGTTACAGAGTATTATGTAATTATTCATAATTACTATAACGAGTAATAAAGTGAAGAGAAACAGGCTGAATCTAAATGTAATTTGTCTTAACGGTCTTGCTTTCGCTCTCTAAACAAAAGAATTTTGTGAACAATTATAAAAAAATACAGCAGTGAATAATGTGAAAACCCTATTTGAGAATTTATAATTTATAATTATCGCTAATACTTCCAGTAGGTACTTGTTTCGAACAATTATTTAATATGATCGTTCTATTAACCATGATAGGTTAATAACTTAAAAAAATATAAAGTAGTCAAAAAAATAAAGTACCAAAATCTCGCAAATGTAGACTATTAAATCAGTAATTAAATAACTGACTTAAATATTAATTGACATTCTATTTTACACCAACAAATCGGATCATATCAGAAACATCTTCAACATAGTCGGTTAAAATGATATTTTAATCGACGCCATTTTCATGTCTTTTTAGCAAATAATGCTAAAGCGAAACACTTTTTTATTTAATTAAGGATTATATCAGCAACTACTGTTTTTTATGTGTAAAGGTGGCAAGGGAGCTGGCGGTTCACCTGATGTTAAGTGATAACAACCGCCCATTGACATTTGCAACACCCGTAGGGTTGCAGAGGTGTTGCCACCTTATAAAAAACTCTGCCCTGGTCACCTCTATCACCAGACGAAATGCTGAAGTATAAAACTTTAACTTCACGGCGGTCTTTTGTGAGGTCGTGGTACTTACCCAGACGGAACTGCCCTTTTTTGCAACAGCGAAGACTGTTGCATGGCCCTACCATAATTGATAATGGCACGAATCTTCAAGCTAAACGCAATTGATTCACAAATTATAAAAATTAATAACAATATGGGACCACATGGGCAGCTTCAGCTTTCAAATAAAAAGAATCATCAAAACCGGTTCACTCAGCCGAAAGTTCAGAGGTAACAAACATAAAAGAAATGCAGTCGAATTTAGAACCTCCTCCTTTTTTGAGGTCGGTTGAAAATGATAACGTATAAAGTGTATAGTAATAACATATGTACCTAGTGTACGATAACGTATAAAGTGTATGGCTTCTTAACGCTCATTCAACAGTGGCAAACTTCACGTAGTAACACCACGAATAACCATCGAAACCGACAATCAACAATGGAATCCGTTTTGGAAACAACCACAATGGGAATTTGTGAAAGCATTTGTGAAATTGTCTATTAAGTCGAAGAAGTTTTATTATGTGAAATGCGCATAGAAGAAGGTACAATAAAAAGTTGTTTATGTTGATTATGCACTTATGTTAGTTTTTTCTAATTCTAATGTACAAAACTCTGTGCTACTGTGATTTAAGCTAGCTTGGCCCTAAGGCTTCCATTGAAAATACGATTAAAGAATTACTTACTGATAAATTATATTACCGCACTAAAGAGTCCAGTAATATAATTTCGTCAGGCAGGCGGCCGGTCGGGAAAACATAGCCAAAACCGGTTATAGCACATGATTCACATGTTGTACCGAATCCACCTAGGTGGCATAAGGGTAGGAAAAAAAAAGTAAAGTAACAGCCAATACATGTCCCACTGCTGGGCAAAGGCCTCCTCTATACAGAAGGTATCAGGGCATAGTCCACCACGCGGCCTCACTGCGGATTGGCGGACTTCACATATTTTCGAAATATATATATTTTTTGTTATTATTTCGAAAATATGCAGGTTTCCTCACGATGTTTTCCTTCACCGCGGAGCACGTGCTAAGTCAGTACTTAAAGTTAAAAACTTCATTGGTGCCGGCACCGGGGATCGAACTCAGGTTGCTCGGGTATATTGAATTAAAGGCGAGCGCCCGGACACTGAGCTATCACGGCTCTCAAAGGGTAGGAGGATGATGATAATGATTTTCTTCACAGTATACTCCACTTTCCAAACTTTCAGATAACGGTTTCCGGTTTTTATTACATAATTTATAAGCCCAACACTGGTAGCCATTTGTATGGCAAAATTAACAGATGATGGAGAACATTTACAGTAAGTAATTATTAGACCTGGAATCACAATTCTTTCTAAAGATAAAAAGTCAGTGAGCGGGATAGTATTAATAATAACGTTGGCTGAAGAAAGTAAGACTTTTTTCACAAGGTTAATGAACGGAAGTGTGGTGAACGGGCGTCGGTGCGTAGTTTGGCTAGTTTACATATGTAGTTCATCTATTCACTCGGTCCAAACATTGAAATGTTTGCTAAGTGGATAGATTTTCTAGTTTAAAACGATTAACTTTATTTCTATAATCAGTGCGAGTTTATTTTTTAATTATATCTGTTTCTTTTTCTATTATTTTATTAGCAAGTTTGGACGGATCTTCTTTATCCTTAGGCATTTACAACGTTTTCTCGAAGATATGTAGTCTTTGAGAGTGATATTTGATCTTATCTTCAACATTGTCACCGGAGGTAAGTAAAACTTTTCAGTATCTTTTTCAATGTTTAATAATGTTTATTTATAAACACCTTTTCACGTGCCTTAAGTCAAGCGTCAGACGGAGGCATGTTATATTTTTACATTTATGTCCATCAGTAATAGCGGCTATTTTACTTTCGTCTCCAGATGTTATCACATGAACAGAGTTTGATGTAACACGGTGAGTTGCTAGGTGTGAGTGTGTCACAAAGTCTTGTGACTACATCATTATATTTTATGGGCCCCGACATTGGTGCTCCCTCAGGAAAGGGTAATTATTATTATTTTTATTCTTCTTTGAGCATTTTATGAAACTTTGTTATGTGTATTAGTCTCATGAGAAGCCTCATTAGTAGCATACGATACGATAGCTTGGATACGAATTTAAAATGAGAAAATACAGAAGGAACATGTGATTGTTGGATGTGTTTATATTCGGTGGAGTTTTTGGTTGGCGCTTTTGAGGTGTCATATTGTGTTTGTGATAATACTTGAAATGAATTGTGAATCATTGCATTCTATTACTTTTAATTTTGACTAACATACAGTCAGGACTGAGTTTGTACATAAATTGTGTATACTATGGCTTTATCATTTTTTTCTTATCAATTTGTTCTAAAATTAAAATCACCATGCGACGCCACTGCGTATTGACATACTGCAGATATCAAAAATCGTTTTGTTGTTATTTCGAAAATATCCTGGTTTATTGCACTTTTCCTTCATCGCTGAGCACGTGATAAGCCAGCATTTGAAATTAACTTTTTGCTAAAGTAACAGCCTATACATGTCCCACTGCTGGGCAAGTGCCTTCTATATATAGAGGGTATCAGGGCATAGTCCATCACAGCTCTTTTAAATGATTATATAATTCTTTGGGAAGATATAAGTCTAACCTTATCGAGTTAGATATGAGTCAGGTGTTAGGTTATGTACGTAGTAGTGCTACCAACCGTGTAATTAAGATTCACCGTAATGGCTTGGCACCTGTTTCTCAAACTATGTGACTTTCTTAGTGGCTACAGAAACACAACAAAATGTTTTCTACTTCACATTGAAAGGGAAAAAACGAAGCTCAGATACGGTGATATGAAAGAATAACAATTAAAAAGGTATTTAAAAAAATTGTTATTAACATTCTCATAAAGAAAA